GCAACCCTTAACGAAGCTCGCTTACCGAGAATTCTAGGTTGAGGGGCCGGGCAACCGCTCGGAGGAAATTCAATCTTGAATCTCATCGTGTGTTCTGGGTCCTCGCTCGATTCCCCGTGCAGATCTTATATAATGTTTATTCAAATTGCAGCCGCAATATATACTATATGTATAGTTGCAGCAGACGTGGCGTAGCTTTTCAAAGGCGGAGCCGCGTTCAAACGAATCCACGACTGCATAATGTAGCTCAAGAAGCAGCAACTCATCGCAGCACGGTCCGCGATAACGGCAGTTCTCCATTACATAATATATTGGGCACTGCTCTGCGCGGTCCATGTTGATTGGCATAAATTGCTGCGATTTGCCTTATAACCTCGAGTTGGGTCGAGTGAGACTGCGCGCGTTTATCTTCTATTTATATAAAACGAAGTTGGTGTCCATTCGTCTTTTATGATCTCAAAAACTATTTGTCCGATTAGCTTGAAATTTTTAACATGCATTCATTATACTACCGCGCAGGTTTCTATCATATTAAAACCATTATTTACTTCTTTTTTTATGAGTTCAAAATTTTTTTCGTAATTTACCACTTCGCGCGCTCACCTGACCCTAGCCAGGTCAATTGTTATAAAAAAGACCGAAAGCAATTGTTTTTTTTATACGCGGTCAATTGGCATACATTGTATTTGACGTGTACATGCGTTATTACGCTATTCGCATTTTACAAGTGTGTGGACTCAATTAGACATTTCCTGCTACGCACTTGACGTGGCCTGTTTAAGAGCTTTTAAACAGTCGAATTTGTTTATATACATCCCAATAAACAAAGCTAAAAATATTGGGTACTATAGTATCATTTTGCAAATACATCTTCACATTTTTCGTATTAATTGAACGTAGGCGAAGTCACCACGGGGTCGCTAGTTTTATATAAAGTCCACAGTGGTTCAATGGCGTCGAATCAGTTGCGCCCACGACCGAGAGCTGAAAATGACCTGCTTTTGGCTATACGTTACCAATGATTAATAAGAGAGATTCATCTCAAAAATTGGTCCGATTTGTGTATAATTATTATTTTTATATTATATTTATCGCAGGTGTGGCGTGCGGAAGTAACGTGTAAGCGATCTCGATATTGACCCTCTTAAATCAATTCCTATAACATATACATTACAATATATTATCTATATAGGCTCGGGTTCGATTTCGCGCGCGCGTATGGTAGATTTTCGTAAAATCGGGAGCACGGCTCGTCAAGATCGCACGTATAGTAGTACAAGCGCACGAACTTTCGCGCGCACTTTGGTTGTATATTCGCTTTGTAGATGTATACAGCATTGAAAATCGGCACGCCCAGCGGCCTGTCCAGTCTGTGCGCGCGTGTACCAAGGTATGCGTGCGAGCGCGCTCGAGCCGATAATCGCTGGAATATGAATGAGCTCTCGTTTCGACGTATAAACGCGGGACGCCGTGTTAATGTTACGCGCATTACGTATGATACGAACTATATCATAATACAGGTACTTCGTTTCTTTACATCGGCGCCCGAAACGAAGCCTAATCTGGGTCGACGCGCATAATCTCTTACAGCTGTATAAAATAGGCGATAAAGTAAGATCGGTTGCGATTGTTGCGATATGAATAGATATATCGAAAATATTATATGTGCATCTTCGATAGAGATCGACGCGAATTAATAGAGTCGATGTTGTCGACGCCGATTGGATCTCAAATCGAGGAGTGAACATCGGCTCAAGGGCGGCGTGCGCCGCGACCCATATCAAAGAGCGTTACATACTACAAATAGTCTCTTCTTCTGGACCGAGGCTTTTCCTGTTTTCCTGGCTGATGCTGCGCGTCAGCCGTTTCTGAGCATACTATTTCCGATATGTTTTTGCAAATCAACGCGCACTCGAATATTTTACCCGTAATTATTTTTGTATTGTATTATAATTTTTTATCTCTCGTACCATGATTTTTTGCAATTATTTCGTATAATCGAGAATTTTTCAATTATTTTTTTATTTCTCTGTTCAAAAATTAACTGTAAATAGTTTAAATACTATTTAGTTATTCCATGTAAGCTTTTCTTTTTTGCTTGTCAAGATAGGATCATGAGTCCTTCACTAAATAAGCATATACTTTCTCTAATCTATTTTATTACGAACTTTTTAATACGATTACAGTTTGGAAATTTTTAGTTTACCCGAATACTAGTGGAATATATTTGATTCCATTAATATCATAGCTACGCAATTGAATATTGACGATTTGAAATAACCAGCATCGAGAATTAAGAAAAGCATGAACATATTTGGAAGTGAATTTCAAATTATGCGGACCAAACTGTCATACTTGCTCATATATAATCTTATAAAAAAGAATAACTACAATTTTTAATTATTCTATCTAAGAAACCTATTGGTTCATTTAAAGTTTGAAATATCAAATTGTGAGTTTACATGAACCTTTGACGATAATTATTTGGTTTCAATAATATCACAGCCGTGTAATTGATAATTAGTTGACAATTCAGACTCTCACGCTTGCTCCTATAATTTCTCACCAGTACTTTTTTAATTTTCTTAAAAACCATTTTTATCGTCTCTCCGTTGTTCTGCAAATGTCTTTAAAATTGCGTATGCTTTGTGTTCTAGATTTAAAAAGAATAGAATAAAAAATACAAGAAAAAGCTTTATGCCAAAAAATGCAAAATAAATGTTTCATAATAACTTTTTATTCGGAGTTGACAATTTTTATTTTCAAGACGGAAAAAAGCACAGAGGTTAACAAGTCTTTAAGTTTTTCTTAAACTTTTCCCGAATATCGAGCAGAAGGTAGGTTGAGCCGTCATTTTTAATTCGGTACAAGACTTATTCAGCCATTCATGAGTAGCGCTGTATGCGTTCTTAGGCTTTTTTATCTGGGATCGTGTGGCGTCAGAATTTCCAACGTAGCCCAGAAAAGTTATTCAAAGTGGTCGAATTTATAGCCCATCAGAAATTTTTCCTTATTCATAGTAGTACCAAATGTACGAACGTATGACCAACATGAAGAACAAGGAAATAAATAGGGAATAAATCAATGGAAAACGTAGTAATAAAAATAATAGGTTTTTAAATTAAATTAATGGTATTAAAAGAATAAGGAATAAGCATTAATTCTGCTAGTATGCTTATATACCACTATTACTTCGTATTTATGGTTCTCTTTTTGTTTTTTTATTGTTGAACAGGTGAAAATGGATAAAAAGTTGAAAAAAAAGTTACCTAATCTTCCAAGCCAAATTATGTTTAAAAACTGAATTTCTGAGCCTTTTATTTCTCCCAGGGTCATTCTGAGTGATATCATGCGTCAATGCAATTTTTCAACGTATTCCATAAATGATCAGTTGTACCCTTCTTTAAGTGCCTGCTCTACGTTGGTATGCTAGTAGAAGATCCTTTTCTTGAAGAAAGAATCATTCTTAAAGTTATGCACGCTAACCCTTTGGAGGTATTTCTGTACAAGGAGCAGTAGCAGCAGCAGGTGTATCGCATAAAAGCCGAGAAACCGAACGGTGATTAATTTTTCTTCTTCATTAACCGGTGTATAAAACACAGCTGATCAATTAAAACGCGGCGAGCGCGATTTTATCGCTCGCGATTCACGTGCGTTTCGTGTAACGAGTGCACGCGTGCACATACATATATACCGACTCGTCGCAGATATGTATTTCCGATTTTTCCCACATAGATTTCCTGTCTCACATCTGGTAAATTTATTACGATACCCGCCAATCGCGAAACGAGGCCGCACAGCGACTATTCGAAAATCGCCAGACCATCGATGCGACTTACAGCAGCTGTATCATATACGCGCTTCGCCTATTATACATCGCGCAAGCAGATGTCTGCGGCATCGATTGTCTTTCGTCGCGAAAAACAATCGAGTATTAATTATCCTGTCAATTGTGCAAAATGCGCCTTCGAGCACTCGAAACTGTGTGTGAATGTGTACGGTCGGCTTTCAAAATGACACACGAGCGCGCCGAGAGATTGCGCATTTATATACATACACCTAATGTAATTGAGGAATTGTTGCGCGCGTCGGACGAGAAAATTCCGCAATATCCGTGCGTCCAACCTACAGAGGCAGCGAATTTTCTATAATTAAAGATGTATTATAAAGTAAGCCAATTTAGTGCGCCAAACTCCTCCCCGCCTGATGCGAGCTCGCGATCGGACCGACGACGACATCGGCAAAAATATTGCTTATTATAATGACGGCAGTGCATGCGGCGATCCGAATTAGAGTCCCCTCGAGCTCGCGTCGAAACGATGTGAAAGAAACTTGCATAAAATCACCTGAACGAGTCCCACCTGAGGTTCGATCTGTTTTTTGAAAAATCGCAATGAGGTGGGTTCGTCGACCTTTCGTCAACCTAGATCCCCGCGTGGATAATGTACCGGGGGTCATATGCACCCATAAGGGAGGGTGAGAGACATATCAAACGTATCTGTCGACTCGACAGTGACATAGTTGAGAGGATCGTTTTTTTTTTACGGTAAATCAATCGACGGATTGCGAATTTAATTATTATAAATGCCCGGCGACAAAAAAATCGATTGGCGCGAACTGTGCTGACCTATTAATTAGTTAGTCACTTAGCTCAAGATATTGCAATTCATGCTTTGCGTGCAATATCGAGAAAACAATTTTTCCGATTTCTCTTTCGAGCTTTATAAAATAACGCCAATCTTTTTTCGACCTCAAAAAAAGTGTAATTTCAGTTTTGTCTTTTTCACAATATTTTTAGTAAAATTCAGAAATTGAGCTTCTTTATTAATTTATAGTGCTTAAGAAGCTTAAGCTGCAGTAACAAAAAATCGAATTATAATTTAAATTAAAAATTGTCTTTACAATACATTTACAAAATATTACATATTGTTAAGAGTCATTAGTTCAAATATTCAATACTACATTTCAACGAGTCTCGCCGCGTCCATTGAAATCGTCGGCTTATTTTCATTTACCGTATCCAGGGTAGACGGGGTAAACTGGGTACACAGGCTGAACCGGGTAAACTGGATACACGGGCTGAACTGGGTACACGGGGTACACGGGATACCGGGGCCTCAAGAGTTGTCCGAGAATCGATCTGCCCTCGACGTCGTCCTCTTTGGCTTCGACGTTCGGCTCCTCGGCTACGACTTTTGGTTCCTCGGCTTCGACTACATTTGACAGATATCGCACATATTAATTCGCCAAATCGCTCGTTACAATTGTATCGTGTACTGACCTGGTGCAGAGTAGACGCAGGCCGAAATAGCCACGAGCAGGAACACAGCGACGAGGATGGTTCTCATTTTAACTTCGATCTTTAGTATTATTCACGCGTGTCTGACCCAAGAGTATGCACGACAGTGTGCCGATTTTGCACGGAGATTTTTATAGATATACATGTCTCGCAGTGCGAGTTATGTTTATTGGGTGAGAAAAATCGAACGTGTTGTGCTTAGATTAAACTCCATTCAATTTCTCGGTAATTGTACGTGCTTATGTACACGTAAGCGCGATGCGCGCATATACAGCCGCTGGAGATCGCGTCGCACCTGCGAAACTCGCCCGTGTTATCTTTATTAACAAAACGTTGAAATAAATCATCACGATGAAAGAGAGAGAGAGAGAGATAGCCGGTAAACGCTACTTTTCTATGCTATTAAATAATTGCAATTTCGAAAAACATCATAGCGTATTTACGACGAGGTATTTTTAATGACCATCATTATTTATCCTACTTCGATTCATTGAAATTTTAAACTGCATTTTTTGATTGTCAAATATTTCTTGGAAAATCCTCGTTTTAGTTAAAAAAGCAATAAAAAGGTATTACACAAGCGATGACAAAATTGATGTGTCTTGAATTAAAAAAATCGGTTATTTGCCAATCCAAGTCAATTTTGTTTAAACGATTGTGGAAGATCGAATGGAAATTATTCCATTATCGGTGTATGCTATTTGCACTACAGGCCTGATTTGCTTTACTTCATATTCAAATATTTACGCACATCAAAATGTAAAATGCGGTAATTTTGGTGAATAATTGAGTTTAATCATTTCTTGTTGTTATTCGCACGTATAGACAATTGCACTTCATTTTTTCCAAATAATGCAGGACTATTAAGTCATTGATATTCTGAAAACTACAGCAGTGCAGTCGTTTTGAATCGAAAATGCACCAACATATTTTTACTAATTCAGATAATGTTACCGACGTTGCGCGAAAGCGAATGGATAATTTGCCTCGAGAAAAATTGTATTATTATGCCGCAAGGGGCGCCACGTCTTTGCATACATACCCAACTTATATGACAACACAAACAAAGTCGTGCCGTGCAGACTATGACGGGTACTTAGCAGAAGTCTTCCTTCGCCGGTGGATGTTCTCATTTTTCGACATTATTTGTATTGTGAACTAAAGTTGCATCGAGTCCATTGTTGTTTTTCATATCGCTGAGTATACTTGATAACATGTCAGAATCGATAAATATTAATTTACGTGAAGAACTATCGCACTTTTCATTTAACATACGATTAATCTGCGGAATTACTTGACACGTAATTTTCTCTATATTTGAGTTTATACTTTGCAAGTATGAATTAATAATTTTCCATTGAAAATTTTCTAATTTCCTGCATTGTTTAACAAATACATTCATTGTTTCACAAAAAAAATCAATTGTTTTGTCATTGACCTAAATGTTAGTGATTTACAGCTAATCATTGCTTTGTTATTTTCAGATGGACAAAAAAGAAAACTTTATCATGCTTGCATTATTAGATGACTGATTGTAAAATCTACAGTTGCACTTGAAAAGCATATCATAACTTCATGGAAATTTTATCAGTGCTTCCAGGAAATAGTGTAACTATCGCATGCCCTTGAAGCAGTGTATCTAGACACTACATATAGAATTAGTTTAAAATAGTTATGGACATTTCAAATCAGTCTGCAACAATGCAGGAAAACGAGAGGACGGTTAAACCTTTTAAAAATTTGGAAGAGCTGTATAAAAGAATTAGTTCTCTTGCTAGTTGGCAAGGAGTTGTGAATTTAAGAAAATCTACAGACTATGTATATTCAGCAGATGAAACTCAAATTGAAAATAAAAAAAAAATATCAAAAACATCTGTACCTAAGACCATCGTTTGCCATGATTTGATGGGAGGCTATTTGGAAGACAGGTAAATATTGATCTTTTATTTTTAATATAACATTCAAAGAATCTTAAAAGTTATAATTGCATTGAATTATTTTTTTCAGATTCATTGATGGATCAAACAACCATAACTCGTATCATTTTTATCATTGGCATATCATTGATACTTTCATTTACTTCAGTCATCACTTTGTTACAATTCCCCCTTTTGGTTGGATCAACGCTGCTCATGAACATGGAGTAAAAATATTGGGAACCTTAATCACAGAGAATACTGAAGGAAAAGAAAATTGGGATGAAATTTTAAAAACTAGAGATAACATAGTTAAATTTGCTGATGCTCTTGTATTCTTGGCTCAATTTTATAAATTTGATGGTTGGCTCTTGAATGTTGAAAATGAAATCCATCAAGATGATGTTGGAAAACTTACATTTTTTGTTAGATATTTAACAGATACCATTCACAAAAGAGTTGAAAATTCTGAAATTATTTGGTATGACAGTGTGACTGAATCAGGAAAATTGTCTTGGCAAAATGAGCTTAATGAAAAAAACAAGTAAATAAATTTAATTTCATATCATCATTAAAATAAAAAAGTATGCAGATAAGTTATAATATTCTATTATTTTAACAGTTGTTTCTTTGAATGCTGTGATGGAATCTTTCTTAATTATACATGGAGCGATTCTGGTCTAATAAAGAGTGCTATCAAAGCTGAAAAACAAAATCGACTTCATGATGTTTATGTTGGTTTAGATGTGTGGGGTAGAGGCTGCCCTGGCGGCGGTGGTTTTAATTCAGCCCATGTAAGAGATTTGATAAATTCATCTTTTGAATTAAATTCATACTGTTGTAATATAAAATGATTTATTCAATGGTTAAGGCTTTGAAAAGAATACGAAGACAAGGATTATCAGTAGCAATATTTGCTCCTGCATGGACATTTGAATATTTTGGACCACAAACATTTCCTAGAATTGAAAACATTTTTTGGGCACAGCTTAAAGAATTTTTATATGTTCATGTACCAGTATTTCGAAATGAACGTTTTATTACTACACTTTGTCGTGGTGCAGGAGACAAGTATTTTGAATATGGAATGGTAATAATTTTGCAACTATAATATTTATTTTTATAAGAGAAAGCTCATAGTATGTATTTTTTAGCAAATACGTTTTGAAGATCCTAAAACACATACTGTTGTGGAAAGAAACAATTCTTTTTATAATTTAGCAATGCAAAAACATCAAACTATAAGTGCATGTTCCCATTTGAAATTCATTTCATCTCACATGCCACTTCCATTAAAAATGAATGAAAAATCTGATCCAATACCTCAAGAATGGAGATTTGAAACAGCTCATGAAGTTATAAAAACTCTTGGTAATAAATTAACTATAGAAGATAAACCAGAATCATATGCAGGCTTGAACTGTCAACAATTCTCCTACGATGTATCTTACGAAGGTGGTGGTTGCTTAAAATTAATGACAAAAAATACTAAGTCTTTTTACAGGTATTGTGATTTAATAAAATAAAATTGCATTTTGGAAAAAAATAGTTTTTACATTGATTGAAATATTTTTCTCTTTACAGATTATTCTATGTTCATATTGAATTATCAAGAGATATCCAAGTACGTGTTTACTACCGCAATAGCGATATGACTAATCACACCCATGATTCAGAAAAACGGTTGGTTTTACTGCTGGGAAATGAGTCAGGAGTTACATCTTTTTTGCCTCGTCAAACTTTAGAACATGGATTAGGGTGGCATTTGAGGTAACCACCATCTTATATGTTATGAAATTCAAACTTCAAAAGATTTGACTGAAGTTTTAACATTCATTTTTTCTGTAACAGTATTTTCCAGACAAATATGAAAATAGTTGAAGAAATAGGTTTAGCTGTAACTCACACTGGTGACTGTTACATAGGTAAAATTGTTGTAGAAGAAATGAGAAGACCCATGCATTGAAAAATTTGTCATTAAATAAAAATGTGTATTTTATATATGTTATTTTTGAATATCTTGTATGCATACTACTACTATGAATGAATAAATTTATATTTTATTTTCATCGATTAAACCTTAATTTTACCAGAGAACGTTTCCGTTTTTGGATTACTAATAACAAAAAAACTAAAAGTAAAAAATGAAGAAACATAGGTATCAACAAAATATTTTTTCTTGACTTCTTAACATTATAGTTACAAATTACTTGCATTTTTTTGCTATATGTTAATAGTATAAATAATTTTAAAAAAACAATTTTGCGAAAATTTTTGAGTCGTTTTTCTCTGAGCATGGTATGAACTTTCAGTTGGTCAAAAATGATTCCCAAGCAGACAAGATTTTCCTTACTTCTTTATTAATATGAGAGACAGGGTACCATACGAAAGTAAATGAAAATTGAACCAAAATTATGTTAAGAAATCGCCAATTTTATATATCTCACTCATCTCAAATTTGTATACTTCAATACTTAAGTGTAAAAAACTATATGAAATTCGCATAATATTAGCATGCACAATTCATTTAAAAAATACAAAGATTTCGCATTAATTGCTCGTGGAATTTTTTTAAAATTCATATGAATTTGGTCATCAACGTTTAAAGAAAAAAGCGTTAGAAGTTACAAAATGATAAATCGGCTCATTATACTGAAACATGCAAACTTTACTTTTTTAAACGATTTCTTTACCAAAGCACGTCGTATGAGTCCCAATAAAACAACCAAGGTAAAAAATCGAATTTCTTTTGCATTATATTAAAATTAATCGATGAGGAATAATTCATTAATTTTATTTAGTATTTTGTGTTGGCGTATTATTGCAAAAATAAAAATTTAGGGAATTGACTAGAAAAATGTGAAACTTACATTATTATTTCTCTATTTAAAATTCGACATGGTTTAAAAACTTCAAGTCTCATTTTCAATGAGAATATTCAAACTGTTCATTTTAAGTAATATACCTGAAAATACTTTGTTGGTGATTGAACCGAAAAAGATCATAAATATATATAATTTTCCAAGTAGTAAAGATCATTTTTGAACATAAAATTCTTTGCTCTTTACAAATCTTCAAAAAAATTGGATTTGCCGTACAAAAAATCAATTTCGGGCGCGCTATTGCGTATAAGTTACTTCATATAATGTTATATTACAAAAATTACACACTTATAAGAATAAACTCAAAGATTATAAGAATAAAGACACTGCAACAGTAAACATTTCGTTTTTTAATTTTTTGAGTTGGCCAATGCTACTGTATTTTTTGTTCGTATTTTTAAGTATGATTTTTATAATTTTAAAAACATTTCTTATATTTTTTACATTATTTTTCTGTCGAAATTGTTTCTTCTGATTATAAAAAAAATTTAGTATTGTCAAAATTATCGTTAAAATTTATAATTCGTGCTCGGGAGAAGTTTGTATTGGATATTTGCGCTAATAATATCTGGTTAGCAGGGTAACGATGAGAACATTTATGGTTCACTGGTTATTCACACGGCTGAAGGACCAAGATTAAGCGATGACACATCTGGGCTAGGTGAACGCTGGAGTTTTAGTCGATCAGACTCTGCCTTGTTTACCCGCTTGCGCACGTATATTATATCATTACTGAAAATTAAATATAATTTTAGGTAATGAGATTTAATTAACTATTTTTACAAAATGTATACTTACATTATTTCAATTGATCTATTTTTTATGTATATTAACTCTCTGAAATTAATATCAATTCCTCTCAAATACAATCTTATAGTTTCTAAGTAGTCATTATCATCTACAAGTATATCGTAACTGAAAAAAGATTTAACCGCCCTCACTGTGACATTGTCGGGTATATTGTTTTTTGGAAGATCAAACAATTTATTATATACCTCGGTCACTTTTTGTTCGTCACAACTGTATATCTTTTTATATTCTTCATTATCTTTGTTGGGATATAGGAGATATTCCACGCAAGCGACTTGCAAAATGATATAATTTTTACGATACAGTTTCAATGTCTTCCAATTATCAATTGGAAACACAAGAATCGTATCCTTGAATTTGTTTAATAATTCAGGTGTAATAGGATTTCTGCACAAAGAGCTCCCCACTGACACACGTAGCATATCTGTTAAAATAGTGTTATCTTCTAAATTTTCTTCTTCAATATCGTTGGCTATTAAATATTCTTGTAATTTAATAATAGCTCTCGCATCCCATAGAAAATATTCTGTACCCATTGCAATGAAATTTGCCAACATTTTTTCTTGCACCTAATGCTCAGATACTGATGAAATGATATTTTAGAATTTATTGGAGATTTGATAAATACTAAAAATATGATATTTAAAATAGATTCAATTCCTATAACAATTTGATGTGTGCGACGTCCGAGATTAATCACGGTTCTATCAATACTGACCGATACACAAACTGACGCTTGGTCTAATGTCAACATCGAGTTTACACTCAGATACACGAATAAACATACAACAGTCGAATTATTAAAATATGACAACATACTTTCAGCACTACCCTGTTAAAGTATTTTACAATATGCTCTAAATAAAATTCTCCAGTTAACCCATTAACGACCAAACTGCTTGATTTTTTTGTTGGTTTTTACAGCGATTTTTTTTGTAGTTTGAGGCCTCTAAAAAGTTTGGTATGGACTTATTTCGATGTAAAATTTAATGCCCTTTCAGAAACTGAGCTCGAAATTTCGATTCTTTGCGTAATAAAAAAGTTATGGCTACTTATACAAAAAAAAACGTAAAATTTTTTGCAAAAAATCAAGTTTTTGATTTTTTTTCACCATGTTACCGTTAGGGAATCACGATATAAATATGATCAGGGGTGATCACGACTGTCAAAGTATCTCAGGGAATTTTTATGGAATTTTCGAACCACTACTTCAAACAAAAAATGACTTATATTCATATAAAACATAACTCATTTTTACTCGAAAACTACTGAATTTAGAGAAAAAGTACAAAAAACCAAAGTTTGAAAAGGAGTTAAAAAATTCCATAAAAATTCTCTGAGATACTTTGATAGTCGTGATCACCCCTGATCATATTTATATCGTGATTCCCTAACGGTAATATGGTGAAAAAAAAATCAAAAACTTGATTTTTTGCAAAAAATTTTACGTTTTTTTTTGTATAAGTAGCCATAACTTTTTTTATTACGCAAAGAATCGAAATTTTGAGCTCAGTTTCTGAAAGGACATTAAATTTTACATCGAAATAGATCCATACCAAACTTTTTGGAGGCCTCAAACTACAAAAAAAATCGCTGCGAAAACCAACAAAAAAATCGAGCATTTTGGTCGTTAATGGGTTAAGAGAATCGAGCTTCTTATAGCACTTTAGTAAAAACATTCACTAACATAATAAACGTTTATTTTTTTGGAATTTTTTCTATCGCGAAATACATGATGATTTATTTTGATTTGTTTAACTTTTGTTCATAACGGTATTATAGGATTTTGATTTAAACGTATTTCAACCCCATATTCTATGTTAAAAGTGTCAAGTCCGAGAATACCGGGCCCTCTTAATTTTTTGCGTAATGTGGGTGCTTATCATCGACCTGGTTTTTTATTAACTTGAATCATTACTTTTAATTGAAACGTCTTCACATACTGGTGTTGAACGCGATGTAGATGAATGCATCGAAAGATAACAGCAAAATAATTAGTAGAAGGTAGTATGAGTACGAAAAAAAAGTCATGAGTAAATTTATTGAATTTTCGCGATATTGGGGTACATTAAAACAGTATATTAAAACAGCCGTATCTTCAAATAAATTTCGCGTAAAACAATTATAGTTACACGGATTGGAAAATTCTTGCAAAAATCTACAAAACGGTGAGCTCAAAGTTTCTACGATCTCTCTAACTAAAATGGCAAGCGAAATAGCTGAGACAAGAAAAACCAATATTTTCGATTCTTTAATTGTTAATAAAGTTGATAAATAAATGAATAAACCTAATATAAGTGTATATAACTTTGTAGTTCTCGCTAAGACTTTTTGAGTGGTCTTTTTAAAATATCAATCCGACCTTTTTAGGCAGAACTACGATACTCTGAAGTTTACTCACTTTTCGCCAAGGTATATGACAAAAGTAATTGTCGGGCAGTGTAACTCTGCGCGTAACTTCAATCGACCCCCAAAATGTTCCAGCAGTGAATAAAGGATGCATCAGTCCTTTTTCTCTGTTGCATTCGTCTTCAAAGATCAATGGTCGAAACGGGCGAGCGAATCGTACATGAATATTTAAAATTCATACATCATTGAGCAAGCACGAGCGCACATCAAGTTGCACTCCGCGGCCAAGTCGCTCGCCGCATGCGCGATGCATCGCTCACCGACTCTCGCTCTACTTACACAAACGCATGTATATAATACGGTATCGAGGGAAACAGCTGCTCGGTGCAGCAGAAGCAGCAGAAGCAGCAGCAGCAGCAGCAGTGCTGCGTTGTCGCATCGCAGTGCAGTCACCCTCGCGCTGCCCCGTGCTTTTTTGTTGTCGCAACGCGACGATGCGCTGCTGCAATTGATTTTGCTGCACTGCGGTAAATCTCATCTCGCAAGACGCTCGCAGTCATGACCGTTGCGACGACTACATTTTAGGCTCCATCGTTGATGATTACTCTTGTATATGAATAAAATTTTCGTCGAACGAAGAAAAGTTTCGTCTGCAGTTCGCGGGTGAACGTCCTACGAATTCAGTTTCGCGATTGATAAAACAGCGAACGAAGCGAGCGACAACGTGAGCTGCTATACGACCACGATGACCGCGAATAAAGCAACCGAAAATTCGTCCAACGAAAATTCATGCGACGATTACCCATCCGAGAGCAGTCTTCCTTATTACAGTGATAAATACGATTCGGAGCTAGGTGAGAAAATATTTTCATATTTAATCAAAACCATACTCAACTTTTTCGTGGCTTACTTGCATCGATAATAGAATTATATTTAAAATGAAAAACTTTTCGTTTTGGTAGTTTTACGAGAGGACGATGAACGAGGTCACTCTTTTCAGTCGACTCCCTTATCATTATTAGGTAATATTTGTTTAAAATCTCAAATTCTTCAAGTAAACAAACGAATAAGAGAAACATTTTTTACCTCTACTAGATAAATACTACATAATATTTCAAAGAAGACAGAAACAAAAAAAGAATATTGAGCCAAAAAAGCAAACGAACTACCCAGAGAATCAAGGTAAGCTAACTCGATAATTTTCTCATTTCGTGTACCAATCATCTCCACCTCGACTGCAGCGTATCATTGTCGCTATGATTTTTCAGAGAAACCTGCCAGCTCGCCGAGCGCCTGCGGGCCGCCCTGCTACTGCCGCCTCAAGTGCCAGGAGAAGCTGAAGAGTCGACGCCGCGCCCGCATCCGCAGGACCTTCCTGAAGCTCGGTGCCAAGCAGCGCCTCCAGTACGTGGCGCTGTGCGTGATCGAGACGCCGAAGCGTCGATCGCGGCCCCGACTGCAGCCGCTCGGCAGCGAGCGACGCCAGAAGACCCTCACGTACATACTGCAGGACGGCGAGCGCGGCCGAGCCCAGCGCGTCTGCAAGGCCATGTTCCTCAGCACCCTGGGCGTCTCGGAGAAGTTCGTGCGCGGCGTCGTGGCCAGGCGGCGAACATCCGGCCTCGGTATGCTCGTCAACGGCTCGGCCTCCTCCTCCTCCTCCGCATCTTCGTCGTCGTCGTCGTCGTCGTCGTCGTCGTCGTCGAGGGGTCGCAAAAGCGCGGCGGTGAGGGAGCACGTGCGCGAGCACATCAGGTCGTTCGAGGCCGAGACGATGCCCGGCGACGTCAGCGGCAAGCGCTACCTCGACGTGCGACTCAACTGCACCAACATGTACAAGATGTATCTGCAGTGCTGCGAGACTCGCGGCCTGCCCAGGGCCTACAACGTCGGACTGAACTACTATAGGGAGCTCTTCAAGTCTGAATTCAATTTAGATTTTAAAAGCCGACTGCCTAAGCAATAATATTATAAATTTAATGAATCCTTACCGATTGTGTATTATACATTATATAGCTTTAAATATAGAATATTTAAATATAGAACAACGATTCCTGCGATATACATTATAAAATTTAAATAGTGATAGACGCGAGTCAAGTGGCCATTGTTTTGTTATTAATTTTTTTAACTTGGAGCTGTAGGTGAAAGTTTCTAAGAATTTACAATTCCTATAATATACTCAATGACGAATTATATACCTCGATTAAGTAGTCGATAGTTTTTTCAATTTATTGTAGTAATTTTTGCACATTTTCTATGTATAAAACGCGTTAACAGCACTATTACTGTACACATAATGTACGTGTAGACGAGTCGCGATTATAAAAATTACATTTAGATTATAGATATACATAAAAAAATAGAGAGAGAAAAACGACGCTTTAATATTTACGAATAAACATTAGCATTTTGCCTGAGTGCCATGTATAAAATACTCCGCTATGGGAACGATAATAGTTTCTAATTCTATAATAATATTATCTAGTACGTATCGAAATATCCGAAATAGTGTATAAAAATTTGTAGCACCATCCATTTGTTAATTAATTATATAAGGCATAATTTACAGATCACATTATTCGAGTCTCATTTCCTAAGCACCAAAAAAACCTAATTCGATCGAAGTTCGATGACACTTTTAATTTGCTATATCAGCTACTACTTGACTTTGGAAAATTGATCGCATCTGAGAGTCGCCGCCTCGATGGCGTCCATCACGGCGCCGCGAAAGCCGCCCTTTTCCAGCGCGTGTATAGCCGTAATCGTAGAACCTAAAAAACGAGTGGAGACAATTTTTTTGTTATTTTTCGTTATTCATAAATTAGTTTTAAAGAAATGGCACGAACCGGCCGGCGACGACACGTCGTCCCTCAGCTGAGCCGGATGCGCCTGCTGCTCCATGGCCATGGTGCCGGCGCCCAGGACCGTCTGCGAGGCCAGCCTGTAGGCGAGATCGCGCGGCAGACCCATCTTGATGGCGCCCGAGGCCATCGACTCGATCATCATGTAGACGTAGGCGGGCCCCGAGCCCGCCAGAGCCGTCACGGCGTTGATCCAGCCCTCGGGCACCTCGTCGCAGATGCCGACCGCCGAGAACAGCTTCTGGGCCAGCTCCAGGTCCTGGGGGCTGGCGTGGCTGCCGCGCACGTAGACGCTCGCGCCCTGGCCCACGACGGCCGGCAGATTCGGCATCACTCGCACGATCGGTGTGCCAGCGGGTAAATTCTGTAGGCGCGCGTGTGAAAACGAATGTTTTAGGATGCTCGAGAAAGAGAATTACAATTGAAGATCATGAAAGCCTTACGTCTTCGAGATTTTTGATCGATATGCCCATGGCTATGGACATGAGGACCTTCTTCGTGCCCTTGATGCTGTTCTCGATCTGGGGCAGAACTTGAGACACGACTTGGGGCTTGACGGCCAGCACGAGCACGTCGCCGTGCTCGGCCACTCTGGAATTCGAGAAAGTCGTCTTCGATTGCAGCTCCTAATTGTCATGAATGAAAAAAGGTGTCAGTCTTGCATCATAATACACGTGCATTGCGTTCGTGGTTTGGTATATAATTACGGAAAACAACGCGTATACGAAAGCAAACGCGTACACGCAGAGTCAACAAATAGGCGCCTCATAATATACATAACAAGAGCGCGTGTAAATGTTTCCATTTAAGCCAGGCGGAAGATTCAAAACGCTATACAGCAAGCAGATAAGGAATCGTAATCTATGATTATCTCGGCGCGTGCGAGTGTTTTAACTCGGGGAAAAATTTTAAACGTGCACCGGCTCTCTGTCTCTCGTTCTCTCGATTAATATTAACGAGCGTACGATGCAACGATAAATATGCGACAAACTCACCTCGAATCCTTTGACGCTCAAGTCGTCTCCTTGCGCGCAGCTAGCCAGCACGAGTTCTCCTTTCGTCAAGCCTGCGGGTGTGCGCGTGCGCAGGGGCAAAATTAATTCGAATGATCGTATGAAGGTGAGTGCAACGACACTTGAAATTTCGACAGATACTATAGATTATGATGCAAGCGAACGATCGTCTTACCTGATTTGATGAAACCCTTGGCAAGGGCCTGGGCCATCTTGCCACCGCCCAAGAAACCGATCTTCAACATGTTTAGTCACTTTTTTTGACGAGAAAAGTTGGCTCGTCGATTTCGCCGATTGTTCAAGATTCGAAGTTAATTAAAGAAGACAAAAAAGATCTTTGCACGTCGACTTTTGGCACCGATTCAGATCCGCCCTCGAACACACTTGTTACTCGTATGAAAAAAAAAAAAGAAATTACTTTAGAGTACGATCGCGAGACGCGTTAGACGTCGATGAACTGAGCAAAGCTTCTTTCGACGAGTCTCGCGGCCGATTATGAAAACTTTTGTTTCTTTCGAGCCACCGTCGCCACCGCCGCCGTTGCCGCCACTCTTTTATATGTATTATTATTGACGCGATGATCGTCGGTCGAGATATCGCAGCTGTGTACGCGATAATCGAAATCCTCTGCTGCTGTGCTTCTCTGCTGCTGCTGCTACTGCTGCGCTCGTTGTTTTTGTTTTCGAGTGCAGAATCAGACAATATCGAGCTTGCGCTAATGAGTCAAGGGTCGATCGACGCTCGGAGTAACAATTAATGGTAATAATAATAAATAAGGAACAAAAAGTGGTATGGAATAGTGGATCGAGGAGAACAAATGCACATATACTTATTTTTTGTAATTGTCAATGATAGCGCACACAATGTCAATTGCATTCGACGAGCGATTAGCGCGATGTTTATATCGTATCGACAAAACTAGAGATGACTATTTTCGCCAGATAAACAAGCAATTTTTCCATTTGGCGTACGTGCGCGTGTAAATAAAATCGCGCGAGGTCAACAAAAAAATAAGAAGTCTCTCGCTCGGCTTCGCGATAAGATGTCTCGTGCCACCGTTGTAATTCTCACGCGTGTGCAATTTATTGTATATTGCTCATAGTTCGGTAGAAACAAAAAAAAAAAAGAAAGAAAAGAAAGAGAGAAAGAGAAAGAACAAATTAATGCTCCCGCAATCGCATTATCGTGGCTCGACTCATGACCCATCGCAAAATTCGACGTCCAGTCTTGCAGTTATGCCGCGTCGAGTTCTGCGCGCACGAGATAACGCGAAATCGATCATCTCTCGGCTATTTTCATAAGTACTCGACGATTATCGGTATTTGCATTGGCTTTTCAGTTCATGTAATGAAAAAATAACTCTTTTGTGTTGTTGCTAAATTTTATGAGTATATAATTTTATCATATATTTGTATTGCACTCGCTACAATTCTTGAGTAAAAGTAGTATACATAAATATGAGTCGAGGGACCAAAATACATAAGTGTCTACAATTCAACGATAAAGGTAAACACGATGAAGAAGCCGATCAGCACACAGGTACACTCGCACACGCACACACATTTATAAATATTGACTCTTCATCGCGGATCGTTATCGAGGTGCGCTGACTTGGGTGTCTGACCGCCGCAAGCCAGTTCACGATCTTAATATTCCGATACACAAATCGATTGCCTAATTATTTTTAATATTATTACAGCCAATAAAAATAATATCATACAATTGCATAATCGATGCATTTGTTTTTTGTACTTTTTGTTTTGTTTTTGGTTTCGTATAAAAAATATACATATAATTCTCATTCGGGTATTTTCAAAGACTAAACAGTTTTTTGTACTTTTTTTTTCATTTTCATCGCGATTATTAACAGGGTATATGTAGAATTATGTTTTTATGGCAGCGCGTTCAAGATCATCTTCCTATCATGGATTGCCGTATCTTTTGGTCGATCCACTTGCGATAGTGAGCGATTCGTACGTAGACGCCCGGTCGATTGGCCCGGCCGCACTGCTCGCCCCAGCTGGTCAAGCCGTACAGCGTGAAGGCACCTGTAGCAAGAGAAAAACAAAGATACAAGTTCGTTGTTACTCCCGCTCGCTTCAACACAGTCAACGGCATTTTTGTACGATATTACCGTTGAATTGACAGGCCAAGGGGCCACCCGAGTCGCCGTCGCAGGTGTCGGGTCCGCCCTCGAGGTGGCCGGCGCATATCATGCCGTCGGTTATGGCGGCGCCGTACACGTCCTGGGCCTTGCAGATGCGCTCGTCGATCAGCGGCACCCAGCCGAATCGCATCTGTCTCGAGTGCACTGCGGAAAATGAGCGTGCGCGCGAGCACGTACGATATGAGATTATTCATTTTGCTCGTATCGATGCCAGACGCGTCTACGAAAAAAAAAGAGCGGAAAAAAAAGACTCACTCGACGAGCCAGCCTCGATGCTGCCGAAGCCGCTTATCGTGCAGTTGAGATTCGTCGGGTACTCGATGTTCTCGTGCGGCAGACAGATCGGCATCACGTGCCTGCCCAGTGCCAGGCCGCGTCCCTTCAGCAGCACCAGAGCTATGTCGTTGTTGTACCTGTGGCCCTTGCGGAACTCCTCGTGCACGTAGTAGTCCTCGATGTTAGCTTCGACTTCGGTGCCTTCGTCGATCTGAGGCATTTTCGAGGTCAAATTTCCAAAATGAGTTGGATAGAATTAAAAAAAAAAAAAGGTCGAACGAGGAGTTTGGTATCGGTAACTTACATCGGTATTGTAATCACCCGCCCGGACGACGTAAGTACCTTTGTTGTAGCCCTCGAGGCAGTGAGCCGCAGTGAGGACGTGCAGAGGCGACAGAACCACGGCCCCGCACCAGTGGGTCGTCTTGCTGTGACCTCTCACTCGTATGCTCGCCTGTACATAATATATTATATTTTTACTTATACGCGTATGAGTACGATCGTATTAAAAAAACAATGAGAGAACGACAGGATCACTAAGTAGTTCGAGTCAACATCGTGGTAGACTTGCACGTGGTCATATATAACTAATTTTACGAAAAAATCTCTCATTAAAAACTGCAGCATACTAGTTTTCTGGTAAAAGAATCACTCCTCTCTTTTAGATCTAGTCATTACACGGTTTTCGAAAAATTTGCATTGAAAATCAAATCGAGTCATTTTTGTCGGCGTTTTTGAAAAAAACAGAGAATATCTTCGCTACAGAATCTTGTCTGCATTTAAAAGAGAGATAGTCTTCTGTTTAGTGGCAACATAATCTTCATTTTTTATTTTACCTGCCAGGGATAAGAGCCGGGCGGCGCGATCGAACTGCGCACGACCCGCGACGAGACGAGATCGTCCTCGTCTTTGAAGTCCTCGGCGCGTTTACCGCAGTCGCTCGGCAGGACGTCGTCGATGTTGAAGTGCAGCGGCCGCTGACGAGCTGTCGGTCTCTTGCCGCGCACGTTCACCCACTGTTTTGGGCCCACAAAATATTCATGTATAAAAAAAAATTAAGTTTTCTTGTTTTCTTTTTTTTCAGACACGAAGAAATGAGAAATAAATCTGGATTCGTATTTTTATTGTACATTAAAAAAAACAACAGTGAGATCGAGAGAAAAATAAAAACCAAATTGTACTGCGTGTTCTTTTTTTGTAAAATCATTCTTTATTCATTTTTTTTTTTTTTTTGCATATACAACAGTATTACAATCTTTGCATTTTTTAAACAAACTGAGTATAATTTGTCATGGCACTCACTATTAAAGCTCTAGATTTGTCAGTAAATATATAATAATAAAAAATGGCACACAATATAGGTAAAACAGTTCGCTAACGAACCCAAGATATATTTATCACTGCTTTTTGTGCAAAAATTAGATGAGAAACATAAAAATTTCCGCGAGTTTATCATAATTAGTGGTAAAACTTACACATGTAATATCTAAAAATTATAAAACTATATATATTTTTTTTTGGCATCGTGTTCATTCTATGGCACTGGTGCTGGTAAGCTTTGTTCTTTGTTTTCGTTTTTGGTCAAAATATATTATAATAATTAAAAATAAAAACGACGAGTAAAAATTAAAAATGTCATATGGATAATGTGCGACGTGGTGTTGTTGCGCCTCGCGAAGTATAATACAGTCGACGATGATGCATACACGCGACAACTTTTTATACTTTTAATATTATTATTATTTATACGGGCACGATCATTCGGCTCGAACGCGTTTCTTCGGACGCGCGTGTCTGGCTCTAATTACCTCGTAATCGGCTGGCAGCGTGCCGGCGCTGCACACGACCCCGGCGTCCTCGTTGTGGGCGCAGTTGTGCCTGCCCCAGTGGTCGTGCTCGCAGCGATACAGTTGCGTCTCGTTGCCGATGCAGTTCACCTGTAACGCACGGAGACACGAGTTCAGCGTCGATATTATATACATACACATTCATATGCCGCTGATTTAAAAAAAAAAATAATAATAATCGAACTCACCTCGTCGAGCCAGATGGGTCCTTGACCCGGACCGAAGTAGCCGTCCTTCTTGACCATGGCTGGGCCGCCGTAGCCGAGCGAGCGACAGATGACGCTGGCGGTGACGTTGGTGAAGTCGTCGTCGCAGACCGTGCCCCAGATGCCGTGGTGGCGTATCTCGACGCGGCCCTCCATCGGGCTGCTGCCGTTGGCCAGGCGCAGCTCGAAGGGCGCCTCGCAGTGCGCGGCGCTCTCGTCCGAGCCGTCCGGGCAGTCCTTCACCTCGTCGCAGATGAACGGCGTGGGTATGCACATGGGCGACGAGTCGCACTTCCACTGGCCCTCCTGGCAGACGTCGCTGCTGGTCTTGCAGACGACGCCGACCGCCTCCTCGGCACGGCAATTGTGCTTTCCCCAGCTGTATCAATGACAGACGTAACGACGATAAAATATAATCGTGGTAAAAAATGTAACGGCACAAACTCGAGGCTCGCTTACCCCTCGTTGTCGCACTCCCTGAGCGAGCTTTCGTTGCCCTTGCACCTCAGCTGATCGACCATGAAGGAGTCCGGCGGATTCATGTTGCCGTAGAAACTTCCAGGGCGCACCTCCACGGCGCCGAGCTGAAAGCCGAGCTCCCGACAGACGACGTGGGCGGCCTTGATGGTGAAGCCGTCGTCGCAGACCTGGCCCCACTTGCCCAGCACCTTGACCTCGACTCGGCCCTCGTGCTTGGAGTCGGCCACGCCCGCCAGTCTGATCTCGTAGCCGAGATTCTCGGCCGTGCAGATCTTCTCGTCGGACCGGTCGCCGCAGTCGTTCCTGCCGTCGCACACCGTGCTCCGATTCACGCACTTCTGATTGGCGCAGACGAACATGTTCTCGCAGTCGATCGAGCGGTCCTTCATCTCGTAGTAGTCGTGCTCGGGGCTTGGGACGAGGGCCCCGGTCGTGCCGACGTTGCTGTCCGACAAATAGCAGACGTTGCCCTTGGCTCTGTACGTGCGTCGAGAAAAATACAGCGTTAGCATCGATTTAATCGTAAAATTTTCCGAGAGAGGTTACAATAAGAAGAGCCATTAACTCACTCGTGGGTGAAGGATCTGCAGGTGAAGTCGGCCTCCTTGCAGCGCAGAGCGCAAGTCTTGACGGGCGTATTGAGCCACTTCTCGATCTCGTAGCCGTCGAGTCGTTGGCGCGGATGCTTCTTGAAGAAATTCAGGTGGCTCGAGCACTTGCGCTCGTCGATGCCGTTGGAGCAGTCCTCCTCGCCGTCGCAGACCCAGGGCGACGGTATGCACTCGCCGGGCGAGCACTCGAAGTGCTTGGGCTTGCAGTTGCCGGTCAGGTGGGACTTCTTCGCGACTGTCGGAATGGCGAGTTTTGACAATTTGATTTTCGTCCGCAAAGAGGATGTTATTGAATGAGGAACTTACTCGATTTGCCGCAGTACGGTATGTCGCAGTACTCGAACTCTCCGCGGGGTCCGGTGAAGCACCAGGGTCGGGCCTCCTTGCCGGGATTTGGATTTCGGCAGTGATTGTGAGATTTCAAGCTGTCCCTCACCTCGCGACTAGCTACCTGATGATGAAAACGTTTTTCCGTTACTGTATCGATTTATTATTTTGTCGAGGAGAAAACAGAATCGAGAATATGCGCACTTTGGTCAAAAGTGGCCCAGCCACCATCGGATCTCCCCAGGACAGGCACTCGCGACCCTCCATCGTGACGCTGGCGTTGCCCGTGTAATGATGCCCGTTGCCGTAGAGGCAGCCGATGTCGTCGTAGGCCCGCTCGCAGACGAACGCGTGGCCCTTGTTCGAGGCGGCGCAGTCCTCCACCTCCCAGAAGAAGTAGTCGGCCTTGCACTTGTTGTCGGGCCTGTCGTGGCAGGGGAACTTGCGCGTCATGACGATGCAGACGGGCCGAGCGCCGGCCACGGGCACGACCCTCCTGTCCTCCAGCCAGCCGGGCCACCACTTGGTGTATCTAACGAACGACAAATCGCACTTAGCACCTGGCTTCGACTGGTTCGAGCAGTTTCTCTGGTAACGCCGGCGGGCGTTGATACGCGCGTGCTTTACTGACTTGAATTTGGCGGCGCTGCTGTCCTCCCACATCCAGATGGTGCGATTGAGGGTCTTGAAGCCCATGCCCGAGGTCATGACCGAGTCGACCATCGGCTTGGTCTGCGCCAGCAGCTCCGACACGAAGTCGTTCTCGGCCTGGTCGACCAAGTCTAGGAGGCGCGAGCCGCGCGCGTGACAGTAGTCGTGCGCCTCGTCGTGGCTCAGGGCCTTGGACGCATCCGCGACGTGGTAGCACTGGCCGTTGTGGGCCCGCTCGTCGGCTCGACAGTGGGCCTGTCGGTTGGGAAAGCAGCGCACGCCGATGGCGTCGCGCTCGATCTCGCAGCTGTCGGCCTCGTGGCGGAACAAGCAGTTCTGGAATTTGGCCTCGGTGCCGTTGCACGCGACCGAGCTCGCGGCTATCCAGCTGGCCCCGGGCACGTTCGAGGGTCTGCCCTGCCAGACGTAGGCGGCGCCGCGCTGATAGCCGAGCTGTCGGCAGACGACGTCGGCCTCCCTCTGGCTCCAGGCGTCCTGAGAGTCGCAGACGACGCCCCAGCCCGGTTTGGCGCCCTGGACCTCGACGTAGCCCTCCGAGGGGTCCTTGCCGCCGCGGAGTCTCACCACTTGGCCCGAGATGGGTGTCATTTGGCCGGGCATGGGCGAGTCCGGAGTGACTTGCGAGGCCGAAATCACCGGTGGAGAGTAATGAACGGGGAAGGGCGGTTCCTCTGAAAATTAATAATGAACAAACATTTGGAGAAACCGATCACTTGTAAGGTTTAGAGAGTAGAAAGATAGCGAGTTCGGTGCAACGTGAATTGAAAAGCACAATCGATGCATGCAAAAATAAAGCTCGTCGTTAATCGTATTAATAACAGCCAGAAAAACAAAGATTTACCATTGATGAACGACTCCAATTCGACATCCAACAAATAGTTCGGATCTTGGTTATTAATTTTCATTACAACCGATTTGTCGTCTTTATTCTCCGCCGCCGGTGCGTTTTCGTTGCTGCTGTCTTTGTCGGGTATCCATTTGATGGCTGATATTTCCGTGGTGAGCTCTAGAATAGGCTGCGCGTTAACGCTGGGCTTCTTCTTCATCGGCAGTATCGCGGCCAGCGGATTCCAGTCCTCCTCGAGCTCGATCGAGACGGTCGGCACATTGTCGGGGCTCAGCTTGGACGGATTGTAGACGAAGGCTTTGTTTCTGTCGTACGAGTCGAACACGTTTGCGAACGGGGACTGAATCGACAAATACGTTTTTTTTTTTTCGATACACACACAGACACGCATAAAAAAATTAACATTATCATGATGATTGCGTTCGAGACACCTTAGGGAAAAAAAAGTTGATAATTTTTACCGGTTGCTCGTCGTCTTTGGGAAAAACCATGTCTGGTTTCCAAGTGGATGGGCTCGCAGCGGTGGTACTCTTTTCCGTCGTCGTTGTCAACGACTGCGTAGTCGGTCTCGGAGTCGTCGTGGTCGTGGTCGTCGCCACGCCAATGACGCTCGGGACTCTGCCTCCCGGGCCGGACGAGGCTATTTGTTGCCTCGTTCTCGAGTGACCCTGATCGATGATCAGATCTCGCGAGGGCACGAAGCGTCCCCTCGTCCCGACTTGCTGATGATGATGATGACCTTGGGTAACTTGAATCGGTCTCAAGTTAGGTCTTACGTATCTATGCGTGTATCTCGGGCGCAAATAGTAGGGGTAAAAGTTACCTATGGGCCTGGGCGTCGTCGTGGTCGTCACGTATCTCAGCACGGACGACCAGGACTGGTAATTATTGTTCGCATTCTGTATGTTTGGACTCGGCGGTCTCTCGTACGGTTTGTCGTAAGGATTTACGTGATTCGGTCCTATACGGATTGCACAAAGGTATTAGTCACAAAGTGTTACGTGCAAAAACACGCGGTGCACAGCTGCAGGTGCCCGAAGATCTTTTATTTCGGCGATTGCGTGTAGCAATATTATTTGATTCACTAATTCTTTGGTAGAAATTCTTAACATTTTATGGCTAGTTTGAGACGTGGTAGATTTGCTTTTGACAAATGAGAATCATTACTTCGACCTTCTATATTATTATTTTGACTTTACCACTTGCAAATTTACAGATTAAGATATTCGCCATCTAGTGGCAGAGTCTGAAAGTGGTATAATTACCGAATTAAAAGTAGTTGGAAATTAGTCTTAATTTTCCAAGACAATTTATTGTTCATTTTCGAGACATTTAAAATGAGTATAATATTTATAAAAAATTGTAACAGAAATATGGAAAAAATAAATCACTTAATTGTAATATATTTTAAAACATTCAAAATAATCATTTTCTTTATCGTCAGGCCATTATAAATGTTGAGACTTTCTACTAGGATTGGTACTCGCAGAAAAGTGCCGAGTGTCAGTATTTATTACTTGCGGTGCAAAAAGTGTGAGATTCATCAAAGAAATGTAAAAAAAAAAACGAACTTTGAAACGAATCGAAACGTCTAATCTTACCTTGATTATACGGACGCATGCGTCCCGGTCTCTCCTCGAAACCTCGGCCCATGCCGCGCCAACTGTTGGACACGGGGGCGCTCGCGGGTGGCTCGGGCGCGCTCCACCTGTCGTTGTTCCTGCTGTAGTTGCGCCGATCGATGATGATCGGCGACGATATCGGGCGCACGAGTTGCGCATTATTGGCGGTTCGCGAGGGAGGCTCGGCCCAAGCTCGACCGGTGTTCAGCGCCGGCGAGCCACCGTCGTTTTCCTCGCTCGAGGACTCGTACGAAGACGACGAGCCCTTGGGAGGATATTGGACCGGATTGTAGTCGTGCGGGTAAGCGTGGCCGTTCACGGGGCTTTGGCCGTGAATACGATGAGTGGTCGGCTGGGTTACGCCGGGTCTGACGTTGACCACGGGCACGGGGAAGTTTTCGTAGCCCGGTTGCGAGCCCCGATTCAGATAAGCGTACTGCTGCTGCGGCTGCTGCGGCTGTTGCTGGGCGTAGCGGTGATTGGGATAAAAATTCTCGTATCCCAGCTGTGGGAATTTCTGATTTCCATAATGAGGGCTCTCAGGTTGTTGAACTGCTGCTGGCTGATCATCCCTGCAGACGAAAAAGTATATTATAAATAATGATGTTGAAATTTTCATAAATTACATTTTTCATTGAAATCTATATCTTTTATAGGATTTAGATAAACTTATGATACAGAACATGGTAATGAATGCGATCTTCGTAATTTATATTGTTTTTAAAAGTACTAAAATTATAGAAACTTCCGATTTTTGAGTTTTAATAGTTCTGTTCTGTAATATTTTACAGACTCAGCTCAAGATTTTTATTGTTATTTGGTGTTTTGTTGAACCCGAAAATTATACGAATCTGACTCGATTTTATCGATTTACAGCGAAGCCTCTTTCAATGGACATCACTCAATAGTAGACACTCTCCAAATAGCAGATTAATCTTGCGGACCCGGCAAAAGCACGTTGTTTCTTATAAAACTAGCGTAAAAAAACGCTAAAGGAAATAAAATTGTATAGATATATCAAAGCTTTTTGAAATAAAATAAAAATAAATAAATCTTCTTGATATAAAATTGAATTATATCACAATAATCCCATTTCCATAATGTCTAACTGATTGTTGAAGCCTATTTGTGTAATTGATTATAAAGGGATTGAGGCATAACAATAGTATGTTTAATTCTTGTTATAAATTTTTTTCACTTTTGCGGACACCTCTCTATAGAGATCGATTGCTCGATGACATCTAATTGCCGTCAGCATTCGATATTCAGAGGTTTCACTAAATTAAAAAAATGGGAATGTATTGATCCAGGTTGAAATTCTGAAAAATTTATGGCTAATTTTTGATAAACGTGTAACGTTTCCTTAAACCTTTTATGAAAAATTTATTTTTGTCACTTGACACTGACAAGGAGAGCTTTTCAGGTCCGGGTCATGGATTTGCTTCAATTATTTTTGGCGGTCTCCAGCTGGTACCCAATACTGAAGCTTCCTGTGCTTAGTTTGATCCAACGGGCCTTAGGGCCCATTTTTAGAGGATTTTCCACTTTATAAAAAAATCTTTGTTATTTTCTATATCGATTTAGAAGTACTAAAACGAAAAAATGCAACGATCAAAAGTTTTAAAATTTTCCAAAGAATCTGCTTGAATTTTTTCAGAATTTTCGGGACCATCTATCACTCAATTCAAGAGGCCCAAATTTGACGCTATTTCAATAGATTTTAGGACTCCTTAAAGAGAGTGGTAAATGGTCTCAAAAATTCTGAAAAAATTCAAGCAGACTCTTTGAAAAATTTTAAAACTTTTAATCGTTGCATTTTTTCATTTCAATACTTCTATACCGATATAGAAAATAATAAAGATTTTTTCATAATGTGGACAATCCTTTAAAAAATGGGCTCTGAGGCCCATGAGATCAAACTAAGCACAGGGAGCTTCAGTATTGGGTACCAGGAAATCCATGACCCGGACCTGAAAAGCTCTTCTTGTGAGTGTATCATCTCACTGTTACATTGCGTTCAGTTTGAACTTCGAGTAGAGCGAATTCAATTTGGGTGATTACATTATACTTTGTCACTTCAATTTTTTGTCTTTTGTTAGCAGCTGTAGCTAGCACCTAACCGCCATCACCATCAGGGTCATATTACCTTCAAAAAAAAGCCAGTAAAATAGAATATCGTGCTTGGACTTATACAAATGTTTGTACTTTCTCGCTTGCAGATTTACAGATGAAGGTACTCGCCATCTGGTGGCAAAGAGTCAAAGTGGTTGAAAACTATTCAACATTTTTGAAACGATTGAGGTATTTCCATGATTACAGCGGGAGCAACAGTGGGGAAAGGGGGTCTGTACTAAAGTACAGTTATTTCCACGGCTAATATGGTCAGCCGTTTAATATGACCATAACTATCTTATGAAATTTGAAAAAGTTAGTGCTATCAACTTCTTAAAACCAAACTATCTGAGCTTTCAGAGATTTAAAAAAAAGACGTTCAAAAAAACTGATTGACTATTTTTCATAAAAACTAATTCTCATGATAAATTGAGAATACTAAATAATTAGCAACCACTATTAAAAATTTCTATAACTTTTTGGTATTTTCAATACTGAATGCCTATGTCTGGCATAGCTGTCCGCATGTTGGCATATGTGAACGGCAGCAAAATTTATGTCAAAAATAATTGATTGCTTTGTATAATGTTTCGTTACTAACATATATCAAGAAGTCAAATTCATCGGACACATTTTTTAGATGGTGATAAAAAGACAATAACAAATTTAAAAAAAAAATCAGTTCCTTATCAAATTTAAGAACAATATTGAGCAGTTTTTTAGATCTCTCATTACTTCAATATAATGATGGAAAATTGTCATTTCTATTTGAATTAAAATGCACTTCATATTTCTATTATCTTATTGAATCAGAAAAATTATCAAAAACAAGCCAATAAAAATGTATATATTTTAAAACATATCAAATGATCTTTTTTGGATATTACAGCGTTATTAACGTCGAGAAATTCTACGAGGGGACCAAGTATTTACAGTATTTGTAATATTAGTGCTTGCATTAAATTGCATCAATAAATCTAATATATTATAGGTAGAATTAACATACAATGAGCATCAGATTCGGTGTTCACTGAGAAGATTTTCGTAATATATAAAAATATTAAATTCATCATTGTAAGTTAATATCTGTGAAGCGTCAATGCAACAAAATTATTTAGTTCCAAGATTTTTTTCCTCAAAAATTACTTTAAATCCGAAAAAAATTATTATTTTTATTTCAATGAACATGAAAAAGTGGTTAATTCTTATAAAATAAAGTTTATTACCAAACAAAAAAAATATTACTATTAATATCATAAAAATTAATACTTATTAGTAATTATAGAAAGCCGTAAGCTTAGTCGGTCAGTGATTGTAAAATTTTGAAAATGAATTGTTATTTACATATCTATGTTTTAATCTACGTTTTAGGTCAATAATTTTTTAGATTATTGTTATTGAGTCAAATCATTATTTTACAAAATAGGTGCATTAATTTTAGTTTAATATAAATTAGTATAAAATTAGTAATAGTTAATTTTCAAACCACTCGTTAGTTTTAGGCATGCAAATGGTTGTATCTACTTTTTGCTACAAAAAAAATTGTAATAGTATTTTCTCTACTTTTTCCTTGCGTGCCTTTGATCGATGTCGGTGTACGGTCCCTGGGTATTCGCGCCATTGGCCGATTCCTCCGCGTCCGAGTCGGGAAAGCGGAAGTGCGAGCCACCGGGCTGATAACGATGATTGTGCTGATGATGATGCGATCCGTACTCGATCGGCAGGGACGTCGCGAACTCGTCGTCGTTGATCTGACTGGGGAATCCCGGACCGCTTGGATAGGGCTGCTGATGAGGAATGACAGGCCTGCTCAGCGGCTCTTTGCGATTCTCGGGTTTGTCGTAATAATTGATGACCGTCGGGAGCGTGGCTGGACCGGTGTACGGATGACGCGGGGGAGGAGCTCCTTTCCACTCAGACTCCTCGTCCTCCTCCTCGTTCTCATCCTGACGATCTACGCTGGGTTTTTTATATTCTGAAAACGATAAGATCGACTCGTTAACGTTTACTGTTCGAAATAATTTTGAGCTTCGAAATGAAACTCAAATTTTACGATCATATTACCATTGCTGCAATCGGGCACGTTGTAGGGCCAGTCGCAGACGCTGGAGATGGGATTGAAGACGGTGCCGGGGCCGCAGTCCATCCTGTAGGTGTTGCCATTGGCGCATTGTAGGAACTTGGTGCAGGAGTCCGGATCGGGCAGGAGGCCGCTGAAGCCGGGCGGGCAGTTGATTTTGCGAGGGGCGCGCGGAGTCGTGGCCACGACGCGGGGACTCGGCGTCACGTTGTGCGACGTCTCGGCGTACTCGGAATCGGCAGGCTGTCTGCCGGCGCTGTGCTCGACAACTCCCGCCACGGAAACTCCCGCTTCGGAAACGCCTGCAAATCGGAGAACAAAAATAATACAAGTTCCAATGATACAAATAAAATTATTCACTCATTTATTTTACCTTCGCAGCCCTTGACGTTTTTCGGATAATCGCAAACACCCAGCAAGGGATTGAACGCGGTACCAGGTGCGCAGTCGACGACGTACGTGTTCGAGTTGACGCACTGCAGGAATTTCGTGCATTCCGTGGGATGGGCCATAAGTCCGGTCAAACCAGGTGGACATTTCGGCTTCTACGGATCGAATTGCAACGCAACGATTAATATAATTATGATTCACAAGCTAGCACGATTATTTTATTCGTTAAATTATTTAATTCGTATAAGTATATTATCATTGTATGTACTTGGTCGTGGCTGTCCCTCCTGTCGACGTCGTCGCTACCACCCGCACTGCCGGAGGCCTGCTGCTGCTGAGCCTCGCCAAAGTCGCTTACATCGATGCCCAGCTCCGAGCTCGACAGGCACTTGACCTTGTTCGGGAAGTCGCACTCGAGATCGTCCGGGCTGAACAGAGTGCCCGGGGCGCACGGCTCGACCACGGCCCGGCCGTTCCAGCAGTTCACGTAAAAGCGACAGTCGAGCGGATAGACGAAGACGCCCGTGGAGTCGGTGCGCGGACATTTGACGCCGAGCACTGGGTCGTACAGGGCGACGCGATCCGACCGCGCCTGACCCTGCGGAGTCGGCTCCTCTTTGCGCGGCTTCTACGTCATCGAATCATACGAAAATTCATTTATTTCGCATTGGATCGGATTTATCGATCAGTCGCGGGCTGCTATATGTACCTTGCTGTCGTTCGACACGCCCTCGTACCATTCCTCGTTTACCTTACGATCGTGGCTGCCGTACTGATTCTGACCTCTCGACAGTTCCCATTTGGAGGCTGGAGCGGACGGTGGAGGAGTACCCAGAGGTGGATACTCGGGATAGTACACGGGGGGTTGGGTGCTGGAGGCCGCATGATGCTGCTGCCAAGTGGCCCAGTTCACCACTCGTTTCGCCAATTTATGATCGCTTCCATCGTGATTCTGTCAATGTCATCGTTAATAAATCTCATGGTGTAATAAATTAAATATAGTGAATAGTAATATATCATCAATAGCATACAATAAATTATACCAAATTTCAAGGCTACAACATAATTGTCCTTATCTCGATAAATAAGTGGCTTGTGACCGATTGCGCGAGATAAAAGGTCGACATCTCGAGTACTTCGGCGCACAGTAGTATGTTGACACATACGAGAAAAAATATTTGTTATCTATACAAGTATAGGCATGTACGTGAAAATTTATAATTCAGCACGCGGGCGCTGATACATATTACGCGTTTCGCCGAACTGCGAAGAAGAAGAGAAGAAGAAAAAAACCAACCAGATGTGTCGCAACGGATGAAAATACTCGAGTACTCGGTAAGCGAGATCTTAATCAAAAATACCGAGGCGGCCTTTGCACACACACATTAAACGCGTGAGCGAGCTTTTTTATCGCACTCCATCGGCAGCGACACATTTTCATAATACGCGAAAAAAAATGTCAAAATTCTTCGCCCGCCAATATCAAATTCGAGAAAAATGATTTAATCGCGAGTATTATGAATATATACGCATCGATCTCTCAAAGGCTCGAAAGATAAGCTAAGTGCGGTATTCAAACTAAAATTTTGTTATCATAATCGTCGTTCAAATGTGCGTTATAGTGACTCATACTGTCTTAAGTGTCGCTCGCGAGTCAATTATCACGAATAATGGTAAATTTGATTCGAATTAATATCGATGTATGTATACTCTTTTTAACTCGCAATATATATCTGCCATTAATGACAGAAACACGCGACTACACCAGCTATATAAATTTACAGTGTATTTCAATTATGAGCAAAATATCGCATCGAGGGGGCAATACCGAGCGAAGGAAGAGCCAGAGAGCTCTCGGGCCGCGATGTATATTTTCTTTAAAAATAGAGGCCAAAAAATACGTGAATGCGAACGCACAGCGCGAATACGTTTTAAAATTAAATCTTTTCCACGACGATCATTTCCACGACGCTCGTGACACATTCAAACGAGGAGATAAAAAAGAAAAACTAAAAGAATGATCTTCGTTTTTATTTTACTCGTGTATATTTTGTAAAAATTTTCTGAAACGAACGATAGCACGCGCACGACTCGTGAGAATGAAAATACAGAAGTAAAAAACTAACGATGATGATGTTCGAGGCAAGTCGCGACAAACATCAGCTGTGTTAGGACATTTTACGAAGAAATCGATGAAAAAATTCAAGTGGCTCTTCCTCTCCGATCGAATCGCGCAGCGCAACTATAAACACGCGTGATGCATACACCACGCATATATACATACGTATATAGCACGAGTAGCGTATAGAGAATCGTTACAGCTCAATTAAAGTATCGCGTTGCAACGATACCGCATACACATACGCGTGCATTGTACACAAATGCATGCGCGTACACATGTGCGAAATTGCCATGTCACTGGCCCGTACTCACATTGTCGCACACACGACGATCGTGTGTGCATTATTACACGCTAATATAACGCCGCGAACGAATCACGTAACGCCGTGCACTCGCACGACTCGGATGATATAATTATTGTTATCGTTACTTATTATTTCTTCTTCTTTTTTTTTTATTATGTTTGAAAAATTAACGCAACACAATCGGCGCACAAAGCTCGCACACGTGTGCAGGCGCGCGAGAGCTGTATGTAAACATAAATTACCTTGTCAGCGGCGGAGAGGCGCAGTGTCGATTTATTATTATCGTCTGCATCGGCGGTAGCGGCGGCAACGACTCGCTGCTGCAGCAGCAGCAACGACAGCACCAACAACAGCAGCAAGCTCGATGATTCTCTTACGATCATTCTCGATCGTGTGTATCGTGTGTATATGTGTGTGTTTTTGACTCCTCGTCTTTTCCCACAGTAAGTATCGTGGCGCAGAGAGTCTTTTATATACTATCAGTCACTCGGAATCAGAGTTCATTCTTTATTCGCTTACAAATCCGTCCATTATCCGTGTCCAGCTCATTAGCTAGCACGGCTAATTGAACTCCGATCGCCTCTAAATAACAAAATATAATTTACGGTAAATATGCTTTTCGCGATCTTTATCCGCGTCGACGCACACAATGGCTCGTAAATGCAGATTTTGTTTTGACAAGACAAGACCGAGACGATCGAGGAACTTTTCCGCGTGTGTCTCGTGCGTGGTGTGCGGCGCACAGTGCCTAGTGTGCAACGCGGCGCGCAAGTACAAACTACCGCCTTGGCGTTGGCGGCATGTCTTCTCTCGGCCGTATGATATATAAAAAGCTCTGCGAAGCGGCGCGCGGCTCGTATACTCTCGAGCGCTTCATATACAGTCGACGACGACGATACAAAATTATACTCTTCTTGACATCGCGAGCGAGCGAGCGAGCGAGCAAGACAGAGAGAGACGAAAAACACGATTATCGTTCAAGTGTTTCCAGTGGAGGGTTCATGTACGATGATATATATATACAGGCGCGTGTGACATGTATACATCAACTTATACTCGCAAGCTGAGAAAAAAAAGAGAGAGATGCGCGCGAAGGCCAAACGCGCGTATAAGCCAAGCAACGCATCTGGCCCGATTAATGAAAACACACCACATGACCCAAGAATTGCGACGAACGGGCGGCCGCACGTATACACAAGAGGGTACATTTAAACTGGACGCGCGTGTAATCTCGAGAGCTTCGCGTATCTCTTTTTTTTTTTTATTTTACTGTAGCGCATGTGCCAGCTACATTAATATAAATTCTAAGGCGCTCCGAGCTCGACTTTAGAACGTGGCGTGGGCAATGTGTCATGCAACGTACGTTTCTTTGTTGAAACTTGCGGCCGGCGCGCGCCGGGCAGTCGTCATATACAAGTGGCACTAATTGAAGGGCCTATGCGCAATGGGATTTTCAAGCCGAGCTCGGGTTTGTTTCGTCACTCGGGCTCCGCACTCGCGATAAGAATGAGTCAGATTAATTTATAAAAAAGTTTAAAGTTCCTGGAAGCTTTTACCGCCCCGAATCGCGCTGCGGCGGCGGCAAGCTTTAATTACGCACGCGTTCAAAAAATAAACTACAAAATTACAACAGCGGGCGCACCGTATAATGTATGTACGGGTTCTCCGTTGTGCAGTTTCCGCGATCTCGGGCGCGCGCGCAAGTGCGCTTCTCGGAAGTAAAAATATTATACTTATATATAAGTAAGTACGCCAGAGGCGCAAATTTAGCTGACGAACGAGTCGTTTTGATTGTCTTCTTCTTCGTGTATGCGAAAAGCACAATAGGTAATTACGAACACTTGCGCGCATATTTATACGCGAATCTAAAATTATATCGTGTTTTTTTTCTTTCATTCTCACGCACCTCTAGCGCGAGCACGCGCGCAATAATAAATCGATCATAATCAAGTACGTGGCCGTGTTTTTTCCCCCCATGAAAATATAGGCAAAAAACAAACTAATAACCGGGATTGTTTTGACGGTGCAGCCGCGGCTAAATACCTGTTATTCCACGGTCTTTAGATAATAATATGGATTTTCATAAACGTTTGATCATTGGAGTGCAGCAGCAGCAGCAGCAATACGGCAGCAAGTAACACGCACACAGACAAATGCCTCGAATGCGTAATAATTAAAGCTCATCGATCAAATCGTATATAATTATTAAAACATGTGCCTCGTGCGGTCATATTTTGCAGCAGTAGAGCATGTATGTATCGAAGAGAGATCCGAAGGCGTATCGCTCAATTTCGCAATATCAATATCGCACGCACACGCGGGTAACGCGCGCTAGGCTGCTGCTTCTTGTTTATTGCTCGTCTTACAAGAGCGAAAAACGACGCCATGTGAAATTATTAATGTGCAATTATTATCAATCGTCTAAGCTATCCGCATGTGTGTGTGTGTGTGTGTGTGTGTTTGATAGGCGGGAAAAACCGAGCTCGATCTTGGCTTTATAGTGTGCCAGAACATATGTGCGCCACTAATGTGTCAAAGGTCATCGGCGCTCGCGCGCGCACACATGTGTAATACGTGCACACAAGCATATGAACGTAATGTGTCACTCGTCAATGTTACATACATGTTTTATATAGTAATATTAGCGCCGCGTCTCGAATACGAGCGATAATCGTTTTCCAGAATTCCGAATCATGCTGTATACGTCGTCGGCGTACGTATACATTTGCCCCGCAGGACGACGATCCACGGCGCATTTGATAAATTATTTTATCGGCCGTACCGATCTCCAAGGCGCGGACAAAAAATTCCCTGAATATGTTTTTGATTGGTTGCGAATCGAGCGGGCAATGATTATAACGATATTCTCTCCTTTTTTAGCGCTCCGAAGGCCTCTTTCGGGAAAATATTTTTCTTCTCTCATCGCCTTAGCAGCAGCGCGAGTAATTAGATGGAATTTGCGCGCGCGATCGTGCGAATTTCAGCCGCGCGTTTTATTTCGGTCAGAGAGTTTACACGCGAGAAGCGAAGATGATTGTAGTTTTTTTTGTCTTTGCGCAGGCTTTCAAAGTCTGCGTAAACACGCGATTTTTTTACGAGACGGCAGATACGGAGCGGCGGCAGTAGCAAGAACAACAAATGAATTACAAGGCGAAAGATTTTTATAACGTACAAGTTAAACCATTTATTTACATAACATGAAACAATTTGTACTTAACTATATAGTAAAGCTATTTATTTTCAAGTCTTATCTTAATGCAAAAGCTCAGAGTTCATTCGATATTTAACACGCACAATTTTTGCCGGAACTATCCTTGTAAGGACTCGCGTACTTTCCAGGCCCGGAACTGTGGCCGCCATTGTTGTTATTATTCTGATGTTCCGAGGCGTAAGCGCCTGCGTCCGCGTAACTGCCGCCCGAGGCAGCTTGTTGATAATTTTCGCTCGGCCTCGTAGGTTTTTTCCCTGGCCTCGGAGAGCCGCCAGACGTGCCGGGTCTGCTACTGGAATGGCTTGGGGCTCCTCCTCCCGTTGCGCCGGGATAACTGCTCATCGGTCCTATCGAGCCGGCCGAGTTGCTTACCGGTCCGATGGAGCCGGCCGAGAAGCTCGATGGGCCTACGGATCCGCCGAAGTCGCTGCTGGGTCCTAGTGAACCAGCGGTGAAGCTCGTGGGACCAAGTGATCCGGCCGAGGCACTGGACGCTCCCAACGATCCAGCAGAATTACTCGATGGACCCATTGCGCCTGGATAATTGCTCGTTGGACCCATGTCTCCGCCATAATTACTCGTGGGACCCATGGATCCACCGTAATTTGCCGTTGGACCTACGTTAGGACCGTAATTGGCGGTAGGGCCCACGTTGCCTCCATAATTAGCTGTAGGGCCAACGAGGGCTGGATAGTCAACGGTGGGTCCAACGACCGCTGGGTAGTCAACAGTGGGCCCGACTGACCCAGCTGAATTACTCGTAGGACCCATAGAACCAGCACTATTACTTGTTGGTCCTGCGGAGCCTCCATAATTACTCGTTGGTCCCATGGAGCCGCCGTAATTAGCGGAGGGTCCGGCCAGTCCCGCGGAATTACTCGTTGGTCCCATAGAGCCACCGTAGTTAGCAGTAGGTCCAGCTAGCCCAGCAGAATTACTTGTTGGTCCAACAGAGCCACCATAATTTGCAGTAGGTCCTGCCAATCCAGCCGAGTTACTTGTCGGTCCCATTGATCCACCGTAATTAGCAGTTGGTCCCATGGAACCCCCATAATTAGCCGTAGGTCCCATGGAACCACCATAATTAGCCGTAGGTCCAACTAATCCAGCAGAATTCATAGTGGGGCCTACATTAGGACCATAGTTCGCAGTAGGCCCAACTAAACCAGCTGAATTACTAGTTGGTCCCACTGATCCACCATAATTAGCGGTTGGTCCAGCTAGTCCAGCAGAATTACTTGTAGGTCCTACAGAGCCGCCATAATTTGCAGTGGGTCCTGCTAATCCAGCCGAGTTACTAGTTGGACCCATTGATCCTGCATGATTAGCAGTTGGTCCCATGGAACCGCCATAATTGGCAGTTGGTCCAACTAATCCAGCAGAATTACTTGTTGGCCCCACAGATCCACCATAATTTGCAGTAGGTCCAACTAAACCAGCAGAATTACTCGTAGGGCCTACATTAGGACCATAATTGGCAGTTGGTCCAGCTAACCCAGCAGAATTCATCGTAGGGCCTATATTGGGACCATAGTTCGCAGTAGGTCCAACCAGACCAGCTGAATTATGAGTCGGACCCTGAGATCCGCCGTAATTAGCCGTAGGTCCAGCTAAACCAGCTGAATTATGGGTCGGACCCTGAGATCCACCATAATTGGCCGTCGGTCCGGCCAATCCTGCCGAATTACTCGTTGGTCCTGCAGAACCGGCATGATTACTAGTCGGGCCTCGCGAGCCACCGTGATTGCTCGTAGGGCCAGTGGAGCCTGGACGCTTGTTGACCGGTTTATCGTCCGGTCCACAGAAACTGGCGCACGGGCCCTTGTCCCTGAGCGGATAGTCACAAACACTTATCGCTGGATTGAACTCCGTACCCGGGCCACAGTCGAACACGAAGCAGCCACTCTCGTCGCACATCTGATACTTTGTACAGTCGCCTTCTACCGGAAGTACTTGTCCCTGAAATCAAAATTAAAGTTTTTCTTTAGAGTTGAAGGTGCGTAAGCCTTACATTATTTATTATTTCACATGGGTATGAGTCTCTTTTTAAATATTTATTCCACTAATTTATTAATTTTTTTATCACTAAATTCTACCGCGTTTGTGTACTTACATTGACTAGATTCGAAATAAGTATAACACTTAGACCGACACATGTTAAATAAATATTACGTTCCCACATTTTGACTTAATTTTAAAAATAAAAATCGGCAGTAAAACAAAAAAGTCTAAGACTTCATGAGGCTCCTCGGTCTTGCGCGAACCAAAAGACCGTCCGCGACTCAATGAGTTAAAAACGTTTACGAGCGCTCGTTTTTAAACCGATTTTCCCTCTAGTTTTAAATTGAATGAAAAAAAAATCAGAATCTCCTTGCCTTGTCTCTCGATCGGGAAATTCATCATCGCATCAGCACTGCAGGCGTATCTTCGAACGTGCTGCACGCTCGCGCGCGCGCATAATCATCGTAGTTTTCCCAATAAAATTATCGAGTTTCCCCAAGGTGACGATCGATAATAAAAGACATCGCGGTCTTGTGCGTTTGAATATTGCTACTTATTAAGGCGCGGAAATCAAAAAAATAAAAAAAAGAATAAAAAAAAGAGAGAAGAGCCTCGCTGTTGTTTTACTTATAAGAATAGAATATGTACAGTCGAGCTTCGTGCGCTGATGATGATGTTATGATGAGATATGAATGAGAATCTTAGAAAAACAGATCGTTCCGAAGATTACGTAACGTAAACATGACACATGCTCATTTTTCATAAATAATTATTTAGTTGTTGCTGTTAATCAAACCTCTTTATCTGGAGATTTTGCTCAAAGCTTTGCTTTCAGTCTTGAATCCAAATCTAGCCTTCAGATTATTGAAAAAGAATTTGTAAGGAGTTCTGATTCCAGGTATGGCCGCTGGTATCCAAAAACCTTGTCTAGCCATTTTTGTGTTTAACACAAAGGCTTGAACAAGGCCATAAAAGCTGCTGGACAACCAGTACAAGTTAACTGCCTGAAATATTAAGATAATAATAAAACCATTGAATGTTTATTGGAACATGTTTAAAATATTTTAACATACAGCTGGTAAATGAGCAGCAACTGGTATGAGGCCTAATGACAAAAGTCTGCCACAGATACTTGTATACTTGAATAAATCCAAATTACTATTCATTCTAAATAGTTGATGTACCTAGAATATTAGATGTATATTAAAAAAATATTGTTCAGTATGAAAAAATATTTTTAAACTCATCTACCTCAATAGTCAATAAGTTTGTGATACCAATTGCTATGGGTAATATCATGTAGGGATCAGCTGCAGTTATATCAGATAGCCAATAAAAACTATCTGAAGCAATATCAACATAAAGTGGATTGTTTTCAGATGGAGTACACAGACTATAAATAGTATACGATGATACGATCCACGTTGCAGATTGTACAGCAGGAAGTATAGTTGCTTTCCATTGGGCACAGTTTTCCCTGATAAGAAGGGCTCTGAATTCTCCTTTTGACTGAACATAAATATTTTTCAAATATGATTATTAAAAATTTTTAATGCTGCTGGTTTAGAAATATTAATACGACAATTTACTTTTTCAACAAACTTTTCATCAAATAGTTCTTGCGTCCACCCATAATGATAAGTTTCATCTTGTTTTTTCCACTTTTCTTGAGCTCTTCTCAATTTTTCACAACAAACTTCATATTTATTAACTAATCGTTGCTAAAAAACATAAAAATTATTAAAAATATATATAAATTTTTAGGTGCAAAAAAATTTGATTATTACCTGAGTAATAGCAAAAGGTAGTAGTATTGATGTTCTATTGAGAACTGCAAAAATGGCAAATGTACCACCCCAAGAATAATGAGTTCCGGCAGAAAGAGTTAAAAGCCATTCTGTTAAAATTTCAACTGTAGTATTGGAAGTAAAAAGAGATTCCCACCATTCTTCAAAAGTTCCAAATTTTATTACAAGATCATCTGGGCTAGGAGTTGTCATTTCCTTATATACTTCTGCATACTTGGGATCATCAACATTACTAGGATCCTCAAAATCTAAAATCCTGCCAAAAGGATTTGGCGCTGGGCTGGGCTTAGCGACAACCGTATCAACCACACTTGATGCTGGTACAGAAGGTGCAGCTGCCAAATTTTCCATAGTTTTTGAAACAGTCGTTTGATCAGTTGATACATTTCTGTGCAATGATATCGAATTAGGCACTCTTGCTAATAGGTTTGTCAATGATTTTTTTACAAGCATTGGATGAACGATACATCTTTCATTTTTTTGATAACAAGTTGAGTGAAAAGCTTGGTAACTGCCGGCAGTTTTGTTGACATGTTGTTGTACTGTCGCCAATAAACAATTGACTTTATGCTTGTTTGTTTTTTTTACCACTTTGGCAACGAGGCCCGAGTGCATCATTCTATCGAAGTACAAAAAATTATATCAAAACTATAAAAAATGATCTAGCATTGCACTATGAAACGGCATGTGACAGTGTTTACATGCGTAAGTAATTTCAAAGCTTTACGGAAGAGGTTAATAGCAGAAGTAAAATTTTAATCTTTTCAAATTTCATCTCGGCCTTTTAGTGTCACGTGGTTATCTGTAAGTTTAAATCTAGTTCAAAACGAATGTATCGCATAAATTAAATTTCAATATGTATATTTGAATTGAATCAAAACTGATTAAAAAATTAAGGATATTTATTGACAATTTATATAATTTTATTTACATAATGAAGGTTACAACATTGCTGATCCTAAATCTACAATTTCTGAAAATTTGAAGAATCGGATGTAGCATTACATGCGTGAAGCTGTCAATTCGTTGAAAATACCTATAATGAAAAGGTACCCGATTATAGTAATCTAATTCAACTATTAATTTATTCAAATTCATCGAGTTTTCTTTATAATTATAATTAAAATCAATCAGATACAGTCGGATTTTCTACGTAATAATTACATATCGATCCGCGATCAATGACGTAAACTGCGATATATTCACGATTATAGAACCGTGACGTCTCGCACTCTTCCGAGATGTAATTCGAATGCATAATGAAAAATTTAATTCACACCTGATCTTACGTATAGCTCAGTTTGATTTTTTCGACAGTGCGGGCAATTTCGATTGTAAATTTTTATAGAAGTGTTGATACGGCTGATCGAGCTCGTCTTCCGTTATCGGTATTCGAAAGAAGCGTCGAACATTGTAAGAATTCGTCAAAAAGGCTTGCATCAATCCGTACAAACTGCTCGACAGCCAGTAGATGTTTGTTGCCTGTTGGTTTTTAAAGAGTGATTAAATGTGATTGATAGTGATTGCAAGTCATTTTTATGACCGCGCGCGATTATCTTTGTTTACGATGTCTTACCGCTGGCATAAACATCGCAATCGGCACCAGGATTACGCTCAAACCGCGAAAAATATTAATTCTTATTTTGTCGCCTCTTGATAGCTCGCGAGTATTGAACAAATTTTGAACCTGAAATAATTCATTTATTTAATTTTTTTCAAGCGTACTGATACAACTCGACCGGAGTGTGTGTGCCAAATGATGTGAAATTTATCTACCTCCATGATGGATAAGTTTACTAATGTTAATGCAATAGGCAAAATAACATATGGGTCTGGTACTGCTAAGTTATTCACCCATCCGAAACCTCCAACCATCAATTCCAAATAAGTGAGTTGAGCACCTATAAGAATAAAATTTGAAAGATTCAATTAAAACCAAAGATTTAAAATTTATTTTAAAGAATTTGAGATGAAATAAACAAAAAATAACTTACTGAAATCAGCTTTTGGTATCATATAACATAAATTTCTTGTAGCCATTGAAAAAGAAAACCATAGTGGTATTTGTATTAAAATAAGAATGTAATTTTTATATGGATGACAGTTATCTCGAATTATTAATTTTTTTAATTCTTGTCTTACCTGCATGGAAAAAAATAGTTTTATAGCACAAAAGTAGTCCCTTTATTATATAAAATAATTTGTACATACTCTTGTGTTGTAATTTCTTCTTACATCAGCTTCTGTATATCCTTGTCTAACATAAGTATTAGCTTCTTTCTTTAACTTTTTTACAATATCATCCATTTCTGAATGAACATTTTGCAACTTTGCTGTTGTTTGCATCTGAGAATTGATAAATATTTTGATTTTCGTTAGAAGTTCTAATTTAACTATTGGAATAAAATTATAATGTCAGCTAACTTGAATTAATGTAAAAGGTAAGGTAATTATTGTCCTTGCAGCAAAAGCAGTTAAAGCTATTGATGCCCACCATGGTAATCCTGTAGTTTCATGCACTTTCAGTAATGAATTCTGAGCTAGTTCAACTATTTTCCATTCCGACATACTTGAAGCCCAATTTGGCAATTCTGATTGTGGAATTTTAACTGCTTCATTAGCCATTGATGATGTACCCTCATGATTTTGATTGATTGATACATCATTTGATAAATTCCTTTGGAAATTTGTTCCAAGAGGAGTCAACGTTTGAAAAAGAAGTTTTTTTTCAAAAGATTTTGTTAATAAAAAGCTAGTAGAATATTGTTCTCTATTAGAATGTACACCATTTATCACTAAAGAGCTTGTTTTATTTACATTTTTTAAAACAACTGAAGAACTACTAAAATTACGGCCAAATGTTCGAATCAAAACTCTACTCATTTCATTCATCATGTACCTAATGATAAACAATTAAAGTAGAAAGTGAGAAATACCAAGGAACAGGTTAGAGGTGCAGACGACAAAAGCATGTACTGTATTTAGAGCGGTTTCTGACATATGTAAGATTACCTACGGTTCATCTATTCATCTTAAGATTTTATCTACGTTTTAATCTGACCCCGATCCGAATAAAAATTTTGAAAAATAATGACTATATTATATCAAGTATTTTCCTTTTTTGTCAATATGTTAAATTTCAATTATTTTAACTTGTGAGAAATAGATACCAAATCAATTTTCATTTTTGTCCATTATGAAAATTAACAAAAAAATTTTTATTGAATTTTTCATATTCCAACAAATTTTCCTTTAGTGTTACTCTAAGTGATTTACCTTATAGGATATAAAATTTGCAAAAAAAATGTTAAAGTATCAAGTAATTAAATGACAAATACTATTTTAATAAAAATATAAAAATATATTTAAAATACTGTACATGTATACATACAATTGACTTTTTTGATAAATTTGATGAGAAATGCTACTATACTTTGACTGAGAAATGTAGCATTCATCACTTTCATAAAATAAATTCCAAAAAGAATTTTTTGTTGTAAAAATAATTTTTATACAATTAATTTCATGTGTTACACCATCGGGTACCAGCCAACCCACATTCGTCCAAGTATATTCAAATCACTTGATTGGTCCAGTAAACTTTGAACCTACACATAAATAATGAATTTAGTAATGACAATTTCAGCTAAATTTATAAACCATTTCAGACTACTAACCTGATCCTCTGGACTAAGATAATCGTTTGTCCCATTAGATCTTACATTTAAGGAGGGAGTTTCAGTTCCACATATAATATTTTTATAAAATTCTATAAGATTTGTATCTTCGTTTGGATTCTGAACGCTTATTACTTCTTCTACAATTATATTTCCAGGTTTAGCACCGTTTAGTTTCTTAAACAAGATTGCACATTTCTTCTTTGGTGACCATTTCAAATCTGTAAATAATAAATTTTCATTTTAATAAGTTAAGAAAAAATGTATTAAGGAAAATTATTTATGTAAAATTAATTTGAAAACAATAATTTTACTTTTTAAAGAAAAAAAAAATTGGCTCCAGAGGGGATCGAACCCACGGCCTTCGCGTTATTAGCACGACGCTCTAACCAGCTGAGCTATGGAGCCGCGTTGAAAGCACGATGGTTTCATGTCCGTAAAGTACATTTGAATATAAAGAAATCATTTTCAAAAAGAAAAATAATTGGCTCCAGAGGGGATCGAACCCACGGCCTTCGCGTTATTAGCACGACGCTCTAACCAGCTGAGCTATGGAGCCGCCGATGGTGAGCCAATGGTTTTATTTATTTTTAAGTAAAATATGAATTATCTTATCAGCGACGGAACACAAAAAAGATTGGGAATAAATTTATTAAACTTATCACGATCTTACCAGACCAGATTTTGTTTAAACTTTGATTCAAAGCTGACCAATGAACCTTTGAGTAATTTAGAAAAAAATTCGATTCCCACCATGTCACTCAGGAAAAGATTATCAAGGGATCATGGTTTTTGAAGTTTTTTTTTCAAAATTATATTTCTTACATTTTATCACACCATCCGCAGCCCAGTAATTGTTGAGTTTTTCGTTCCAGTTGAGTCCCTCGTGCATAATTACATTGGTACTCGCTAAAAATATGTCTTGTTCTTTTAGCAATGCCTTCAACGAGTCTATCATGTTAAATTTGAAACTGTCTTTATCTCTGTATGGGCGCATCAAGCAATAAATCTGCGGTGTCAAACGGAAGGCTAATAATTCAGGTATTGGTGTTTCGAATCCTTGGCCAAATACCAACGAATGCTCGATGCTCGTGCACACACCGGTTTTTTCATTCAACAACAGATTGTTAATATTACGTTCAGCAATACCTAGTAGCCAATGAGCTAGGCACGTAACCGCGTAACTTTGAATAAAGTTGTGCCGTATCTATAATTCAAAGATAATAATTATTCTCTGATGAAAAAGATATATTTTTGTCGTACAATTAGTATTTTTCGGGGGTTTACCTTAAAAAAATGTTCCGATGAATTTGATATCTCTATGTAGGTTTGTCTTAAAGCAAACGGATCTAATTTTCGGCAAATTACTTTCATTTTTTCTGTAACTTCCGACTTATTATATCTCATTATCGCTTGCCTGTAATGCCAACTTGCTTTTCGTGTTTCATTTCTGGGACCACCGGCAGCTTCAATCCATTGTTGATACATGTTGACCATGATATTGATTACTTCATCACTGGTGCTAAATTTCACGTATTCCGATAGACTTCTAGAGCCGCTAACTTCGGACACTAGTCCTACGGATTTAGACAGGGGAATAATATTCTCAGTTTGTAATCGAAGTCTTTTGCTTCGACAGATTTTGTCATCTTTTAAGATATCATTGATGGATCGGAATATTCGTTGAATACGCTGTGGAACTCTTATATCGGGTTCGTACTTAACTCGGAATCTGTAAGTCATTCCATTGGTACCCAAGAGTTTGAGAGTGACTATGCTGGTTTCATGTCGACATACTTTATTCGTTATAACTAAAGCACCTCTGATGCCGGCAACTTTAATTCGGTATTGACTATCTACTGGCTTAACGTATGGTTCATATTGTCCAGGAATTTCTACGCCAATTAATTCAAAAGTTTCTTTAGTCGTTGGTATAGTTGGATGACCTAAAGTAGCCGTATGCAAATTGCTGCAAATGCGGTTGACTAGTTCCGTAGCAGCAGCCCTATTTCGTATGTACTTGAGTTTCTCCAAATCACATCGAAATTCGTTGAACATTTTTCTGTATGACGCCGGAAAGTTATCAGCTTCGGAACTCGTAAACATCTGTAATTAAATAATGGTAATGAAATCGAGATGTAGTTTTTTCATTATAAGTAATTGTGCATTAAATACCTCGTCGAATAAGTTACTAAACTCCTGCACTAATCTTTCATCAGTTTGTGATAAATTCAAAATTTCTTTCAAATGACGAATTAAATATTTTTCTGGCTCGCAAAGGCTCTCAATAAGTCTCAAAAACGTTTTTAGTTCAACATCGAGTATTTTCAAACAGATCTCATTGATCGCAAGATTTTCACATACTTCCGGATTTACTTTGATCAACGCACGCAGTTCGTAGGCCATAGCACTAGGATACTCTGTAGCCAATCGTAGGAAAATTGGTAAAATCATCCCTTGTAACGAGGTTTTTAAGAGCGTCACTATTTGTTCCTTGAAATTAAACAAAATCATAATTACAAAAATAATTATAAAAATATACATAAAAATTTGTTGATGTATTTTTAGAAAAAAACAATATACCTTCCAGGATAGGAACACCCAACAAGGTATGCTTTGACTTTCTTTCATAAAGACTTCCTTCAGAGAATCTTGATTCCTTTTGTAAAACGACTCCAACAATAAACACGGAAAGACTTTCACAGCTCGTTGACTACCGAGCTCCATTCCTTTTAGCACTAATTTAACAAATTTGATTTGAATCTCTAAATCTGGCTCAGTCTTACTCTTGAATAATTTATAACAATACTCGATATATTTTTCATATCCAGAAATCAAATCTTCGTTACTACCTTCGATGCACAAATTTCTCAACATATCTTCTCTACTTCTCAGTAAAGCATCTCTTACCGAGGCAGCATCTTCGACATCCAAAGCAACTTTGGTAAATTCATTTCCCACCATAAAATCAACATAAGCCTCTTCTTCCAAGGCGAGAGAATGCAGTTTCGACATAACATCATAGGAATGATGCTTAGCTTTTAATTTTATCATAGGACTGATATTATTGTCGCATAAAATTTCATTAGCCAATCGCCAAGACTCAGCGTAATAAATAAATTTGTTTTTAGGTACTGTTTCACCACGAGCAGATACAGCTTTCAGCAGAGAAACAGCCAAATTCAAATTGTGATGAATATCTAGAAGTCCCGGATTATCGTCGATATCAAGGTGAGACAGTGCTTTTTCGATTTGAAAGTTGTGCTTCCGACCAATGTATTTATTTGAATTTTGTACGCTGTTGAAACTTATTTGAACACGTTGATATAACATTGATGTCACTATATCGGCCAAAACACTGTGAAAAAAGTTTAGTCAAAAATCGATCGTTTAAAATAAAGATAAAATAAGTCAAAATGTATTTCACTCACTCAGAATATTCCAATTGATCTTTTACTTTTTCAATCATGAATGTGGCGTAAGCAACTCTTCTATTGACACGTGACACCCACCAAGTTAATTTTTCATGATACCTCGGCAAATTTTGATTCCAAAATTTAATCAACTCTTTGGACGATTCTCTTACATCGTCCTCCCTTACCGCTCTTAAATATGCATCGGTATCTTTTATGTTTCTGATTTTGTCCAAAATCATCTCTGATCCAGAATGAACCCATGAACCTCTTGCGTCATTCAATGCCGTACGTAGATAATGCCGTACAGCGTTATTCGAGTTACAAATTTCAAATGCAGCTATTTCTTCTCCAAATGATTTTAAAAGAGTACTTGAGTGAGATGACATCCACTTATCGATAAGACCGATGAAAGATTTATCAGGCTCATGACCAATTCCAATGTTTTCCAAAATTATTTGGAGTTGACTCTGCGATTAAGAAACATAAATTACAACAAACATTTTATTTTTAACAATGAATAAAACATAATATTTTACTTTGATCATCCAAGGTAAAAGCTCGTCGCGCCTACGACTGGCCCAGACCGTATCATAATTGTTATTCAAAGTCGATTTTACTTTATCATTGATTTCTCTCCACGATGAAAGTTCATTGAGGCACTGCAGTATAAAGAATATTTTTTTAGTTTACTTTCATAATTTATGGGTATTTGAAAGCGGGGAAAATCTTACTTTGAATAAGCCTTCTCGACAATAGTCTGCAGCTGGTTCTCTTTCGCGCGACAACGCTGCTTCGTACGCTACCTTTGCTTCCATCCAATTTTGTCGTGACTCTGCTATGCAACCATTCAACCAATTTTCAGTATCAACCATCACATTTGACCAATTACGCGCCAAGTTTAAAGGCATGTCGTTATCCCCAATCGATCGATATAAGCTGCACATGTGATAGCGGTCGTACACCTGATTGTTTTCATTAATTTTTGGTCTGCTATACGGCTGATCTTTTGTTCCCAAAACTGTACGTTCTAACAACATTATTGCTGAAAAAAAACGAATATTTTGATTAATTTTAAAAATAAATCATAAAAAAGATGTGAATGAGAGAAAGTATACCTAATCGTTCTGTTCCCGTGGCAATTGCAGTTCTGGTTAAATCAGCCACAGTGAATCTGATATCAGGTACCTCATAAATTATTTTCATCACGGTCGGAGCAAAGTCATTTTTTACTGAGAGAGCTTTAGTGCACATTTCTTCGACTAACTCAATCAATCCAGCGTCATCGCATTTTATCGTAGCAACAAGCAGTGTAATCATGAAGTCAGATGCAAATTGCCGATCTTTAAGCACAATATCTTCTAAGCAAGCGACAACAGCGGACTGCGTAATTTCAACGTCCGGATAGCCCATCAATCTGTAACGTCTGTTCACTTTGACCGTTTCACGTTGTGCCTGCGATTCAGCAAAAAGTTTCTGATAATATTCCTCTTTGCTGTGCGATGCAGCGTATTTTTCTCCATTATTAATTGAATAACGTTTTGACAACTTATTCTCTGATGGTTCTGGAATTATTTTGACTAAGGTGCCCGCATTTGGCCTGTAATGTCAAAAATACGTTATTAGAATTAACCTGTCAACTTATTACTCTCTTGTTATGTATAAAAATCATACCTAGTCAGTCTTTCGTATAGATCAACGTTAATGACAGCTGCTCCGTCCTGTTCAAAGGTTCTTAGATCGAGCTTTCCTTTTCTCACTTTGCTACCTTGCAGGGCTATGGCTCGTGACGCTATGGCCGTCAGCGAGGAGCCAAATAGCGGCGGTCGTCTTTTGCGCGCCGTCGCGATCACGAGCTCATACTCTTCCAAGAAGGCCGACTGGGCCAACAGAGTAAACAAGACTTTCTGATTGCCGGTCGAGCGGGACGTAAGATCTAGCATGAGAAGGCAGACAAATTGAGCGAAACTACTCGACACGTCTACCGAATAGAGACATATAAGTTGACGTATGCGGTTAGTCAGCGAGGTCGAGAGGAATGCTCGTTCTCGCCAAAACGCCATAACTTCCTCCTGTATCTCATCGCTAGGATCACTGACTCCGTTAATTAAAACCCTCTTGCAAGTGGATACCAGGTCTAAGGTAGCTCTGTCACTGAAAAATAATCGAAAGAAAAGTATTTGTGAAACTCTCGTGTGTCAACGCCTATACACATGCATCCGTTTGAAAAACATCTTACCAGTTCGGCACCTGTGAATTGCTCAAAAACTTTTCGTAAATATTCATGAATATGACATAAGCTCCATTCTTGTGCTCCAGCAGGGCAGTTTTATTGGTGTACATCTCGATGATGGCAGCGTATTCCAATAACTGCTGGGCACTCAAGACGTTGATCAATTTTTCCACAATTCTGAAACCGCTGTCGATGCATGCCAAAACTTTGTCTCTTAGTAAGTTTTTGACGTTCGACATAGCGAGAAGACCCAAGATTTCGTCTGCATTCATGGAGCCAATGGCCTCGCCAACAACTTCCAGGCACTCACGCTTGCGCTCGTCGACGCTGCACAGCATCGGATTGAGGAATTGATGCATCGCCGGTTGTTTGGCCAGTGCGGGATAGGCCAAATAAACGACGTACAAGTACCGAGCGCACATATTAGGATCGTGTCTGTAATGAAGAAAAACAAATTCACTTTAGTAATTGAATAATAATAAACATAATATTTTAGTTTACATCGATTCTACTGACCTTTGAATTTTTTCAAACAAATCGATCAAGTCATTCCTGATCAAAGCAGTTCTCTGTTGGTCACCTATCAACTTCAGTATCCAGCCAAGAATCTCAAAGGTATAAGGCGCAATGGGTTCTTGCCAGCGAAACATGGATTTTCTCACCATGGCATGCATCTCCTTGATTGCCATCATTCGCTGGTCTATATTGTGTCTAAAAAGAAGTAATACAACTCGAATGGCCAGGTCGGGTTCCGTATCAATGACAGTGAGCAAGTTTTTCGGTAATTTTAAATCGGAGCTCCAGGCGTTAATCAAACCCTCAATTGTAGCTACATTCAATGAGAAGATGTCTGGATTGGGATCCTTGAGCTTCTCAATGAGGCACTCGACCAATTCTTGTGCCATGTCCTTTTCCGCCTCCAAGCGCAGCTCGTACTCCATGTCAGACAAAATGGTCAGTACGTCGCGTACAAGATAATTCAACGGGTTGGTCTTCAAAAACATAAGCAGAGCGAAGACTATCGACTCGAACATGTTGCGAATAAACGGAACGAATGCCTTTTTCACATTGCTAATTACTCGCAGCAGCAAAAGTGTAACGTTGTCGCGTCCGGTGTGGAAGCCCTCGCGCAGGTGTATCATCCAAACCGGTAGGTCGCTCTCGTTCAGGCTCTCACCTGTAGGCGGAAGTCTGCCCAGAAACATGTTAAAGTAGTGCATGATGGCGGCGCTGATCGAAGCCGTGCACTCGTGATTGTTCAGCTCGTCATCCTCGAGCTCGATGGACTTACGGCGCTCCTCGTCCTCCTGCACGGCATAGTAGCCCTGCGTCGACGGGTCGATGCGTCGATAGAAGGCCGCGAAGGCCGTCTCCACGGCCGCGGGACGAGTGTCGACTTTTTCGAAGATGTTGACGTACTTCTTCACGCATTTCGTGGGCTCTTTGCGCATGTCGTAGACCTTGTCATGGTCGACAATCTTCTCCCAGATTATTTGCTCCTTGGCACGGCTCTCATTGAACATAACGTCGTAATAAGGCTTTCCATAGTTCTGGTAGTTGGAAAAAGCGATGCTACAGTTTAGTGCGGCACAGTGGACCTGCCTCACGAGTTCCTTCTCCTCGGGGTACTGCGGACTGAAGCTACGTATATCGATGCACCTTTTGAGGACGAACTCGTGAAGTACTTGTCCGTAATCGAAGCCGTATCTCCCTGAGCATCCAAACTGAATTCTACCGTACAAAAGACCGAACAGTTTAAAACCGCCGATTCTACTGACGATTGTGTGTTTTCTGTCAAGTCTCTCTGTGTCACTCATGGATTCGCTCAGTAAACCTGCGATCTCCTGGCCAAAGTTGCGAAAAAAGTTCGCGGTCTTCATAGACATGCAGGTCTCTAGCGCAGGTAATAGAAAGTAATCCAGCACCTCGACTCGCTCCTCGGGTCGCAAATTGCGATCTTTGAAGGCTTTGAACATGACCTCTAGAGTTGTGTACGCGCTTTCGGAAAAACAAGTGTAGAATGGACTCAGTCGCTCGCCTATCGTCTTTTTGTTCAAAAGCAATGAACAAGCACCTAGAACATATCTGATTGTTCCTTCCAAAACGATTATGGAACGCGTCATAAAGAATTTTCTGAATAGTATCTGTAGACATTTCAGTGCCTTGTTTCTCTCCAGTGGATCAGTTTCCAGTCTCTCTCTCCAAGCCTCTGGATTTGGGCCTTTCAAGTTGCTGAATACCAAATTTATGTCTCCGTTCGGCACATCCGATGAATCGATAAGGCAGGAGAAAAAGTTATCTATTATTATCATAGTTCTTTCGAGATCTCTTGTCTCTCGAAAACGATCAATGACCCAGAAGTAGAAGGGACTAGGCGCAGCACCCGTAAACAGCACGTCGGATGGCTTGGACTTCAACTCGATCGCCATGCGATTGATGTCGAATAATCGCTGCTTACGGCTATCGGAATAATTGGCCAACGCAAACAAATTGTCGCAGTTGTTAATTATAGCGTTAGCAAGATTCTCTCCCAATTCGTTTGTCGAATAGTACCGAGCGAAGCACAGGAGATCGGCGATCAAATTCAGTACAACGTCCGGCGTGTCCTCGCGCAGCTTCAAAATGATTCTGATCGATTCGTTGGGATTGCGAAGCATACACTGAAAGATCGGACCACGAAACGCTTTGAGGAATCGTTCTGGATGACTAGTGGAAGAGCCGTTTGCTATGGGTTCCGCCTCAAATACCAGAGTGAAAATCGTCTCGATAAGTTCTGCCTATAATGATGAAATGTTTCGTTAACAAAGTGGTACGAAGAATCAAAAGATTCAGTAAATTTTGCAAACTGTACCTGAAATTTCAGAAGGAATAGTCTCAAGACGTCTCTCATGTACTCTATCATGTAACTTTCATCAACTTCGTTCTCGACGTCGTTAGTTAAAAATATTTTGGAAGTTTCGTAAAACACAGTGATTCTATGCATCAAATACGGTATGGTGAATTCGTTCTGTAAAAATATTATAGTGTTTTAATTGCAGAAAATCAGATAAAAATGAATGTTAAAGAGAAAAAAAATCGTCAGCTTACCCCGTTACCGAAATCGAGAAGATCGCAAGTTCTCAATATGATCATACCCCGAACAAAATCTTTGAGCAGGAGTATCTCCTCCTTGGATTTGCTCAATTCCGTCCCGACCATTTTGCAGTGGTCTTCGATCATGGCGAAGGTTATGCACTCGTCTTGATTATCGAGGAAGCGATGGTCGAACAGCTTCGTCATAAAAGGCTCGGGCAAAGCCTTCATCATGATATTGAACAGGGATTCCAAGAGAGGAGGATCGCACGTGTGTATGGTCTTGGCCGAAAGGCCCAATCTTCTCGGGCTCAGGGCGAAGCGATAAATCAATGTGAAGTAGTTGTCGGTCCAGAGGTAGTCCAGGACCTTGTGGTCGTCGGTACGATTAACTAAGAGTATGGAAGAGAACTTGAAAAATTTGATGATCGCTTCATTAATCAAATCGCACAGCTTCTCGACGTCCTTCGGATCCGTGTACGACATTCTGGCTGTCTCTGGTATGTTCTTCTCGACGATGGTCGCCGTGAACTTGTTGAAGAACTGGAAAAACTTGTAGCCACCGCATTGCTCGTCCTTCACCTCGAGCAGATCCTCGGGCGTCATGAGTTTCTTACTGAAAACCCAGACGTAAAAGTCCAAGGCTCGCAAAAAGGCTTTGACTTTGAGGATCGTCAATTTATCGTCGTCCTCGGTGAGGTGCTTCAGGGCGATATCGTTGAGGCCGTCGACGCCGTAGCTGGTCAAAAATTCCTTGCAGCTTTTGAAGCCGGGAAGGCAGGGACTCAGCGACTCGACCAGATCGTTGCAGCGCATGCGGCAGTGCACGCTGAGCGAGCCGCACTTGCCCAGCAGCCAGATGACGGCGCTCCTGAGATTCTCCGTCTGGAAGCCCGGTGGCTTGACGCGCGGCTTGCATTTGGCGTTCAACGGATTGGCGGTGACCTTCACCACGCCCTCGATGTTGTTGATCACGCTTCTAATCCGTATGTCGCCGCACTGCTCGAGGCAAGACACGAACGCCCAGAGAAATTGCAGCCAATAAATGTTGATCACGCTTATGCTGCCGCTGAACGAGGCGTACAGATAATTGAAGGCCGTCGCTGCGGCTATGCGTTTGTTTTTGGACGGATAAGTAGCGTACTCGATGATACGCTTGATGAAAATCGTGAAATTAGCATGCTTAGACGTGTCGGCGTCGTTCGACTGCTTGATCGTCCACTGGACGAACTCCTTAAGGCAGATACCGCAGTAGTCCCGCAGATTCGGATTGTACTCATCGGCCAGGCCCTCGAAGAGCACGTCCAAGAACTCGAGGGGCGCCCGGTGAGTCTCGATCATGAGCCTCATGCTGAGATAGTGGGTCAGCTGCAGGACGAGCGGATGAAAGAGATTGCGCACCGCGTCGTCCGGATCGCTGGCCAGCTTGATGAGCTCGGTGAGGAGGTCCTTGCGCAGGCACTGGTCGAACAGCCGCTTGCCCAGAATGATGGTCAGCATCGTGTGGAACATCTCGCAGGCCGAGAACTTGATGCGTCGCTCGCTGTGACGAGTCAGCTCGAGTATGCGAGGGATGAAGCGATCATATCCGAACTCCAAGTGCACGTCCGGGAACAGCAACTCGAACCTCAGCTGCTCTTTCTTCGCCCAATGTACTTGTACGCGCGAGTCGCGCTCGTGAAGGAAGTCCGACATCGTCTGCTGATCGATGGTGCAGAAAAACAGCAGTATTCGATTCTGGAATGCCTCCAGCGTGACGTCGTTGCAGTGCACGACGCTGTTGCGCCACTTTTTCTTATCGGCTAAGCACTCCAGTTGTTGATTGGCGTTCAATTCGAACCAGTGTTTGTTGTTGTATAAAAATGGCTCCAAAAGGCCTATTGCACTGTTGCGATATTTTTCCAATACTGGATCGTTTATCGAGCTGCACCAATACTCTAATGCTTCCAGGGCAGAGAACGCCAATGGCAGATCGTACAAGCCCATGTTAAAAGCCATAGTGAACAATGGCAGAGATGGTTCTAAAATTTTAGGAACAAAACACAATGGTGTATTGAAAATAAGATAGATACAAGCGCTCCGAAAATCATCGAAGTTTTCATTACTAAATTTCAACACATCCGCTAAGTACTCTGGTATGAGACAACAAGTGTGTTCATCGAAGTACGTGAGGCAGTCTATATTGGCGTCATTGATTCGTTGAAATATGACTTTGATTAGCTTATAAAAACCAGATACCAAATAATTTTTGTATGAACACTTGATGTAATATAATAATAATTTCTTCGCTTGACTCATGAGAACATTAATATTAATGCTGGAGTATATATCACAACAGAGATCAACAATATTAGTAAAATAACGGAGATCTGCTTCATTTTCAGCTTTAAAGATCATGCAAGAGTCTGGATAACTTCTATTAGGCGCAGGTTGAAAACCAAGATTCAAATTCTCCGCAAATGATAGTATTACCATGGTCAGATCACGGAAGATATGCTGACCAAATTCTTCTCGACAATTATCTACATTAAGCATTGCTTGCCATAGTTTAAGAAAATCTTTATAAGAATAACAATCAACAGGTCGTTTTCTAGTTTCCTTAAGTAATTCGACATCGACCCACAGAGGATGCCCACAAGTATATAATATTGCTTCATATACTAAAATAAAAAATTGATAAATTAATAAATGATGTTACAGTTATATTTATATCAAGCAGTAAATAAGATGAACAGATACTTACATACAAAATGGAAGTAGCGCTGTTGGAGATTGCTTTCCAATTGCTTTATTCTTATAAAAGTGAGTTTTAAAAATTCTATTGCACTGTCTTGACCTCTTTTGCTTAGTTCTGGGAATATCTTAAAAATGAGTATACTAAGGTCTACGATCATACTTAAATGATGCAATGTTACAGTTGGCATGTGGTGCAAAATTTCCGCGATTGAGTACAAATATTGAGGTACTGTTTCAATATCCTCATTTTCACAATCTTTTCTGTAATTTAAATCATATAAATTAGTTATCGATATATTTTTTTAGATATGTTTTTTTAGTAAAGAGAAAATTCTTACATTATTTGAAATTTTGAAGCTTGATATGCCAGAGTACTGAACAATTGTAACAATTCTTCTTGAGAGTATTTAGCTAGAGCAATAGCAAATTGACCCGAACCATAAATAATTACTAATAATTTTCTTGTAGATAATTGTCTGTTATAAATATTTGTCATAAAATAATTTTTAAAATATAAGAATATCTCTTCACTAGTCTCTTCAACAAGATGTAATGGTACTATTTCATAAAGAGCTTTCAGTGCATCTACAATGATACTATTATCACTCTTGTCTAATAAAACATTAAGTAAATCGTGCCATTTACTATTATCTCTGTAAACAAACGATGAAAAATGCTGCATGTGAGTGCTCATTATTTTAAGAGCTCTGAAAGTGAGTTCCTCTGGATTTTCGTCCTCACATATTGTTAAAAAATAGTTATATAATTTTTGAAAATAATCCGATTCAGGATTTTCTCGGAAAGGTAAAAAATTCATCAGCATATCTAAAATACATTCTAAATTGATTTCTATTCGTTCTATGAGTCGATGATTCACAGCTTGATTGAACTAAAACACGACAACGAAATATTTTTTCAAAAATTCTACAATAATATAAATTATAACTTGAAAGTAACAAATCTGTACCTGATGCTCCAAATCATTGATCAAGTATAAAAATATTTCGTCAGCTATCGATGATATATGATTGGTTTCTGGACAATATCTCGCTATTGCACCAAGGACAATATATAATACATCGACTCCTAAAATGAAAATATTTTTATTAATAACTGTTTTCATAAAGTTGAGAGTAATGGTATATTACTGCCCTAGGCCGCGAAAAACAGAAAAGTCCCAGAGTACATGTAATTAGCCGATAAATACGTACTCTGGGGCTTTCTTTTTTCGCGGCTTAGACCTGTATGCTACTTTTCATACTCAGTGGCACGAAAATCGCTCTTCCCACTTTGCACAGTGGCAGGGAAGTAGTCACTTTCGGGCCTCTGGGATGAATAATAAAAATCAATTATACTTACTATTTTCAAATAAAACAATTTCATATAATTTCATTTCTTTATGTCTAAATAATTTTATTAACTTTTTTAACGATTCACTAGCTACTCTTTTAACAGCAAATGATTCAGAACTTATTATACATTGAAAACAAACATCCTGTAAAAATAATAAATAAACATTATAGTATTTGTATTAAGTTGTCGAAGTTGAATTATTCATTGTATTAAACTAGATTTTACCCTTGTTTCCATCACAAACGGTTCATAATCTTCCCTATAAAGCTCCATAACAGTTTTTATGACATTAAATAATTCTTTCACTGCATCATCAAGTGACACCCTTTGTGGTTCTTCCTGAGCTGTTACACTTCTTGCGAATTGAAAGAGTCCATCTTTTTTTTGAAATAGTACTTCCAATGCATCTTCTGTAAAACAATAATCGATCGTTTAGAATCAAATCGTTTACGATAATTCAAATTTTGCAATTAAATTTTAATAATCGAAATGAATAAATAGATAAATGAACTTCGATAATCAAAGCGGTATACATTCGATCGAAAATGAACTTTAGCACGCATCCCTGCCGATGTCGAAAAGAGACAGTAGCGAGAATCGGTGGCCTCTCGGCACGCGAATCTGCCCTATAACGAGTCAGTACGTATACCGGCGATACGTACAAACGCGAGTCACAGGTAAGCACATACAGCGGCAGAAACATATATTTAATAAACGCGCTCTGGCTGCTCGCTCGCGCGCGAGAGGTCCATTGTGTGTTATATACGTATGTATATAAAGAGGAGAGCATCAAAGCCGATGTACATCGGCAAAAGGACGATTGAAAAAAAAGCTCCCCTTCGCGCTCCGTACAGGTATGTATCGTACTACTGCGTGTGCAATCCGCGCGCGTCCTGCCAGCAGCAGCAAAGCGAAAGCTGGGACTCTCGTAGCTCCTTTTTCTTTCTCTTTCTCTTTCCACACATATTGCGAAAAGGAGACGAGGATTCAGGCATTGGCTTTATAAGAGAAGCAGCGTATTATACGCGCGCGAAGAAACGAGAAAGGAAGCACATACATATATATATCGTATATACGTATGTACAACACACAGTTATATCTATACGTATACATGTGTAGGAGAGAGAGAAAGAGAGTAGCAGCGAGCGAGAAAAAGAAAAAAAAACAACAAACCCGTGTGCGCGACTGTATCAGCAGCCAGCTATACATTTATCAACTCGTAATATCGAACCCTCGCCGAACTGCAAAAAAGGGGGTAAAACATCGAGACCCGAACATCACCGTCGTGAATTAAAATATGCTCGCGTTGGACACGAACGAGCGGGGGGGTTCGTTTAAGAAAAAAATACATGATATATATGCGCTGTAACTCACCGTACTGGCCGGGCTGTACGCGAGCGAAGCAATCGGGCGCGTCGCGCAGGCATCTGACGATAGACCCAGCATCCTGGCGCGACCTGGCATCGACGAAGCTGTTGCGCCAGTCGACCACGAGTTCCATGCTACAAGTCTCGCGCGACGCCGACGCGACGACGGCACCACGACGACGTTATTTTCAATTGTTCAGAAACGCCGAGTGAATTCCTTGTGCCGACGACGACGTAGACGAACTCTCGATGGCTTCGATGACGATGATGAGTATGTTGATCGTCGACGCGTTTATTATTTAACGAGCAACACAAGAGTACAAAACAACGATGTCCTGACAGCGGTATCGAAGTAACAGCAGTCCTCTCTCTCGCTGTCTCTATATACGTGTGTTTGTGTGCTGCGCTACTTGTTCCAGTCGATGATGACGATGACGATGATGCGCGCACTATATATATACTAACTGCACTGTACTGTTAGTGTATACACAATATAGCACACGATGCAGCAGCTCTATATAACGCCGATACACCTACGTATGTATAATGCACACACATGTATCTCGCGCGCGGGTGCAAGCGAGAGAGAAAGAGAAGGAGAGAGCAGCAGCGGAGCAGCAGCAGAGAGCGGTGTATCGGTGATGTGTATGCGTTCGTTGGTGTGCGTGCGTGTGTGTGAACGTCCGTGTGCACGCGTACAATCGCAACGAGAGCGACTGCGAAACGCCGTGTGTGTATACAAACACGCTTACTTAATGGAAAGACACTTCACGATGTATAAGCTTAATTACGGGAGCATCTTCGCGCTTGAATGATCATCGACGCCGCGACGTAAAACGATGTTGATGATGTATCGGCGGCGAGTCGATGACGGCACAGACACTGGACGACAACAGCAACAACAACATCGGAGATCGTTGTCACTGTACGACGAGCAACTCCGTGTACAATAAGGACATTGGCACACACGCGCGGATCGATTGTTACATGAGACAAACGCGAGGAGTATCAAAAATTCGGAGTTGCACACGAGAGAAGAGAAAGACTCACCGACAGAGAGACGCACATTTCCACACACCGAATACGTTAATAAACTACAAACAGGCAGTCCGAGCACGAGAAATATGTCGTTGCTCCTGTTGTTTCCTTCTATTTACAAAATGCACGCGGGCCGAGAGTATATACATAGATTCCGCGCGGCGAGTGTGTATGTACACAAAAAGTCCCGCAGCAGCAGAGCCGATAGTATAAGAGACAGCCAGACAGACACAAATCTGCGCGCGTGTGTGTGTTTATACTCGCACTTGGCACAATGTCTCTAGTTATAATAGTATAGTAGCAGCAGACACACGCCATACACCACGCTGCAAGCGATCTCAGAGGAGGGCTTCGAGACTTCTTCTTGGTCGTCGTCGTCTTCTCCGGTCTCTCGTCGCTCACCGCGGCGGCAGAGCAGAGCTTCGCAATTACTCTTTGGCGCGATCGCCGCGAACACACATACATACATACATACCACACACATACATGCACTTGTGCGTGTGCAACGTTTGTGTGCGTTGACTCCGTTTCGCGCACACGACGATACGCTATACAGTAGGCATATTATAATATACGCGGCAATGCTCCCCCACTACGTCGCTATCGAAGCCGCGCGCAGAAATTCGCGAGAGCAGAGCGCAGAGCAGCGAACGCGCGGCGACTTTTACAAACTGCCCATACGTTTACCCAGCAGCGCGAAGATGCCTGTGGCTGTTTGTGTGTATGCAGTGTGTATGTATAGGAGAGAGATTCGCACACATTGCAATTTCCCATAATACACGTATCAGAACGAGAGAGAGAGAGAGAAACTATTGTTATTATCATGGGTTGCCGCCGCTGCTGCTGCTGCTGCTGCTGCTGCTGCCGTTGTGCACAATTTATTTATCGATAGAGGTCGCGAGTCGACGGTGCGAGCCGAGACCCCCTCTTGCTTCGTCGGCAGCGCGAATTTACAATTGCGAAAAATCAGCGCGCGCGGCGGCACATTCCTGGCTGGCTAGTGCTGCTGATGCGTCATGCGCGGCTGCACTTGTTGGGTGATGCGCGCGCACCTCCTCTCTTGTATATCGTGCGGTATGTGCGTTTCTGTTGCAAAAACTCGTACACCCGCGGACATAGATACTTGGACCTCGAAATATTGAGTTCGATTTGTCGCTTTCTTCACGTTGTTCAAACAACAGCGCGTGACTACAGTTTCACTACCTGCATTGCACAGTGAAGGAAGCGACTAATCGAACTCAATATTTCGAGGTCCAAGTATCTATGTCCGCGGGTGTACACGTATACTGACTGAGATTGCGACGCGTCAGCTATTCGAGTCTCGCGAATAATTTGTCCGTATACCGGCGATCCGTTGCGAATGTAAGACGTGCACGCACGCAGCGTGCCAGTAATATCCCGGCACTTGCAAATAAAAAAATCGAACTTGTATAGGACTGCGTTGACCGTTACAGCAACCTCCACCTGTGTTTAGTACGGTGTAAATGCACAATCCTGCTACGTTGAAAATGGCGGGAATCGTTGATTGTTTATTTCGTTCTTTCGTTTGTTCATCGCGGCAGTCTGAAATAGAGTTTGAAGAAAACCCCCGTTGATCACCGTTACCCGAGCGCAACTGCATCATGATGGTGCGTAACCGCAGTTTCAAAAATATAACGTGTAAACAAGGAATTTGGAGTTTTGAATTAGTCATTGAAAAAATTTTGGGTACAATTGATTCGACCACATTCATAAGTTTTATTTGTCATATTCAACTTTGAACACCTACACACGCAATCCTTTATTATATATATTAATATGTATTTCTTATTTTCCCTCCTTTTTTTTGCATTTTTTTTTCAAACTTTTTTCTTTGGTTTAACGATCCACTCGTCGCGCGAGTTCGTATTACACGTATAATAATATACTTTTTTTGTTGCACAGCAATAAAATAGAACCCGCCCGCATGAAGTTTTATACACATATAATTGCATGATTTTCTTGTTTTTTTTGTCAAGTTTACATACACATATCATCTATATATAATTAATATCGTTTTACATGTATTGATGAACACTGCCTTAAGTCATTTTTGTTCGAATGGCAAGTTTGAAAGAGTCGTATACTCCGAACGAAGCGTTATAACGTTTTTTTTTTAATTATTATTATTTAATGAATAACACACAATAATAACGCAGATTAAAATCGATTTCAATGTTTCTGTTTTGCTCTTGTTTTTGTTTTCCCTATTTATTTATTTATATATTTATTTTTTTGGTAATTCACATCTCGTTGTTTTAATTCAAAACACAGTTAAATACAGTTTTATAGAACAACATCTTCGTCTTCGGAAAATCGTCCGACTTGCGGAACGAGCTTTTACATTATAAAAAATATCATCTCGGCATTGTCATTCCTCAAAAAAATATATTCTTTCACAGTTGTTTTGTACTTTTGCAGAGAACATTTATGCGTGTAGGTTCGTGTGCGAGTGCGCGTGCACTGTGTATGTGTGTGTGTGTGTGTGTGTGTATTATGATATAGGTGCTATACTCTTGGTTGCGTGTATGTAAAAGTGTGTGTATGTGTGTGCATACCGACGCGTGTAAGCGAACGAATCGACGAGCAGCGAAAACAAAAAAGTGCAAACTACTACGGCAATTTTTTTTTCTTTTCTTCCCTTTTATTGCTCGGTTCATCTGATAGTTCGAAAACGATAGAGATACACGATACGCTTTATATTATCATTTCGCTGCGAAGGGAGAGTTACACGGATGCTATATACCGATCGAGAGAAGCGAAATTAATATCACAACCAGCGAGTTGTTGGTAATATTTTTTTTTGTTTTCTTTTGTTCTTTCGTTTTCGTTTGTTTTTTTTTGTTCACGTATCGCTTGGATAAAATAGCTCGAGAAATTACAGATGAGTTACTAGTAGCAGTAGTAATCACACGTCAAGTTCAGGCGCCCGCGCACCACACGCATTAAACGCGGGAGAAACGTAAATAGAATCGATTCGACGAACATTTAGGCTGATTAGCTTTTTTTCCCTCTCTCTCTCTCTCTCTCTCTCTCTCCCTGTCTGTCCGAGATTCCGAGTTGGCGTTTTTATCGATAATGAGAAATTCGCGCGAGGTAAAGATTACACCTTCTCTCTCGTATTCCTTCTTTTTTTTTTTTTAGATATGTATACATATGCATTTGTCTGTGTGTATATTTATAATTTTTTTTTTGTTTGCTTCGTTTGTTTTTTATTGACAAGTATGTATGCGTTGATTCATCGTTTCTATCACGCTCTCGCGGCAGCGAACGAAACAAAAATTCTCACTTCGTTTTTTTTTTATCTTCATTTATTTATATTTATGTGTTGTTTTCCTTTTGTCATTTCAACAACCAAGCCCAGTCGCGCAGAAACTCTCTTAAAAGCTCGTGTGCGGCCGCTTCGCGATCCACTCGGCTATCGCGGGCAGGGCGTGTACTCGTTGTTTGAGGCCTCGCAGGGCCGGATACTTCTCGAGGGCCGTCGCGCCGAACATCTGCTCGAAGCTCTCCAGCGCCACGGCGAATACGAAGTCGGCCCAGGTCACCTGCGCACATCGATAACAATGAAAAAAAGATTATGGGTGCGAGATCAGTGATGCGAGTAAGCGTTGCGTCAGACACTGGATACTTACGCTCGAACCGACTGCGAAGCCGCCGTTGCTGCCGATCGTCTTCTCGAATTTATTCAAGAAAAATGGTATCGTCTCCTTCACGAATTTGGCCTTCTTCTCCTCCTTTTTGAACAGGTCGTCCTCTTTCTGGAACTGCAGCAGCTCTGATGACGACGATGGTGATGATGCAACAACGTGAAAAAAGGAGCGAGAAAAAAAAGGCACAGAAGTAGATTGAAATCGATTCGTCCATTTTTCTCTCGCGTCGCCTCGCGCGCACGGAAAAGAGATATATATTTTGCTACAGTAAGAGACTTGATGTAGTGCTAATAATTCAATCGGTTTATCGCTTTTGGACTTTTTGCCTTCTCCTCTTTCCTGCCTCTCCCACGCGTCCATAGTATATAAGTCGACTTATCTCTTCGCTCGAATAAGGGATAGGTATATACAGCTGTGCACTAGAGAAAGAGGATCTATAGAGGGGGGAAAAAAAGATATAATCCATCGTTAGGAATCGTGTGCCGTCGTCGATGCTACTCGATAACGTAATTATTGACTGCTCTCTCGCTCGGATCTTCAGAATGTTCAATGTCAAAGTTGCTGTTTTTCTACTTGCAGCTCTCTCTAGCTCGCTCGCGATCATTCTCGTTGTCTTTGAAATTCGAGCCACGTCGCCAACACGTCGCGAGATATAAATCTTTCCCATTTAATATACAAGCTCTGGCAGTATAGATGCAACCTCGAACTTTTTCTGTTTTTTTTTTTACGTATAACACACATACACGCGCATTCTTTGAAAAAACTTTAAAGTTTTTCCCCGCGCAGTTCCTGCGCGAATGCGAAGGGGTTACAGTCATGCAACAATAACTCGACTGTACGAATACATGTGTGAATGTGGGTGAGCTGTATACACGTTGCTATATAGAAGTACCATGCGAGAGTTACTTAAAAAATGTCGACCTCGATATCGACGAAAAAAACGAGTGGTGAATTTTCATGAATTCGATTGCTCCGGATTTTTCAACGACGCATAATACGTAGCGAGCGAGTCCTAGTCAAGACTTGTTTGCCAGTAATAATCCTTCAGTTTTAGAAGTACACCCGGTGCGTCGCGCACATCGTACTCTCGACTCTTTCTTTCTCTCTTTATTTCTTTTTTGTCCGTACAACATCGACGTCATTGTATGAGACCTCGTGAATTTGAATCTTAGAGTCGCGCTAATTCACATCGACGGCTTTGAAGAAACTGACGCAAAATCCTTTTTAATGCATCATTATTTAATCAGGCGCTTGATTTACCGACCGACCGATCGATCTATCGCTCTGTCCCCGTTAGCACATCTCTCGCCTTGGTATTACCGAAAATTAATGCCTCCCGAGGCATCATCATAGCCTTCATTACACCATGCGTGCATAAGAGAAATCCGGCCTTGATGTATATACCGACCTAATTTTAGATCGCCGAGACTGTCGACCAGAGCGTCGCAGAGCATGGCTTCCCACTCGTCGCTGCCGGTGAGTCCGTGCTTGCGCGCCAGGTAGCGGGCTATCGCGTTGCTCTGCGCTATCACTTGTCCGTTGATCTCCAGCACGGGCAGCTGTCCGAATGGCATGGCTGGAATAAAAGGATTATTATTTGCAGCACATTTCGATGACATTGACTTCAGTCGAAGCACAATTATTGGAAAATTTCAGATGGAGAAAGAAAGATGTATAGGACAAGGAAATTTTCCAGAGTTGTCTTTCTCTCGTTCCCTTGATTGTGCAACTGTGCACAAAGCCGCGACAGCGTGTCTGTCTCGCGCGAATTTTCCTGCGGGCCACGAATTTATATATTTAAAACGTCAAAATTAATTGCGCGGATCGCTCTTGGTTTCGCGTTCGTCCCACTTTTCACTATTATGTATACGTCTACAAGCGCGCGGTTTATCGTATTTTACACGAAATATAATTTCATTTTCGCGATTATATTTTGAGCAACATCGCGGTGTACCGACAAAATAACAATAACAACATCGTTCGTTACATTTTTTTTTCTTTTTTTTTTCTCTTTCGAGTGATTCGATACATACAAGGGCTCATAAATAGAGCTGTCATCGCCGTTAAAAATCAAATAATTGGTCTCGTTAAGCACGATACAAAAGAACTCGGAAAAACAAAACCTTTTTTTTTTATTCTACTTTTCATCTCTACGTTCGCACGTCCCGTTTGGACAAATGACACCCGCTTGAATCGAATATCCGCTGCACGCGCCGCCTACATACTACAGCAGCAGCGACAGTAGCACTAGTGCGAAAACAAATAAAACAGAGCTTCGACTTACATTTTTTCAATTCGGGCCATCGTTCCTTCGGGATTCTTTCGTCGGTGTAATTCAGTCCCGCGTAGGCGAGTATGTAGCGAATGTGCTCGGCCCTGCCACGCGCGTTGAAGTAGATTAGTTTGTAGTTGGTCTCCTCGTCGGCCATATCTGCACACTTTGCCGGAGATGCCTGGCGAGTATTATTATATGCACGAGTCCTGCGTGCACAAATTGATTCCTTCGCAACTGTGTGTGTGTGTGCGCGCAGAGAGAGCCGGGCTGACCTTCTCTATATCTCGCTGCTTGCCTGCCTGCTGCGTGCTCGCTTGTTGTCTTTTCTTTACGCTCCGGCTGTGGACGAAAGCCAATATTGTTCCCCATATATTAGAGAGTTACAATCTGACATTTCAAAAAAAAAAGAAGAAAAAGAAAAAGTAGGTAAATTTATGTGCGCCGAGGTATTAAATGCCCTTTTCGTTTTACGTACAGGAGAAAGGACTTTTATGGCGGATATTTTTTGCTTTGGCTTTTTTTTATTAAGCAACTTCGGGCTGGGCACGCTGTCGCGTGTGTGTGCAGTATCCTAGAGCGAAGGTTTCGTAGATTAAGTTTGGATTTAGGAGCAGCGAAAAAATGGCGCGCTAGCGTTTTATATAAAACGCGCATAGAACAATTTTTTTTTCGAGTATATTTACACAACACGAAAGATCATGAAAAAAAAAAGGGGGGGGGGTGTCGTACATGGTTTCGATAGCAGAATAAAGATAGGCAAATTTTTAATGAGAAAAGTTGAATGAGAAATTATAAAAAAAAGGAAAAATTACATTTACATAGCTCTCACACACAGCTCTTTCGAATGTATACTGTACCACGAATGAGCGACTGATTGAAATGCAGAATGATGAAAAAAAAGGAAGAAAATAACAGTAAAAGGGTATATGCGTTATAAGTTTCAAGAGTTAAAAAATATTTTTAATTTCAAACTTTACATTGCGCCGCGCAAAGTACAAGTGCGAATAGGAGCTTAATCAAATTTAGTTTGTTTGAAGGAAAAAAAAGATGGGAAATTGCGATACGATACTCTCTCGAGAGAATTTCGTTGTTGTCGTGCGCGCGTGAAAAATATAAATTGCTCATAGCGCGCGCGCACCCAACCCGGGAATGACATTTTTTCCATTACCTCGTCCCTCAACTTTCCTTCGTCGGAATTGTCAAGAACCGCAAAATTTTCAAACGTATATATCTTTTCGCGCTACATTTCACGTATTGTGCCACGTGAAATCGATGCATACACCGTGCACAAAATCTCGAAGCTACTCGTTGTGCTTTGTTCCGAGTTTAATGCCGACCTGTCGCGAGCAATTGGTTAACGCGAACAAAGCACAACGGAGCGAGTGAAAAAAAGTGCATCAAAAATTGTGTGCGGCACAGGTACGAAACTCGCGCACCTCGAAAGGTAGATTATCAAGGCTGACCACGCAATCGGCGTACGTACGTACGTGCAGCCAGGCACAGGGCATTTATGTGCCCAGGACGAAGTATGACGAGGCGTTTTTTTTTTTTTTTAAACACGACACGCGAGAGAAAAATATATCGTTAGGAGCCAAAAGAAATAGGGAATGCCACGTCACAACGTAACAATTTGCAAAACGAAAAAGCGACCAGAGGCGAACTGTTTTCATATATAAATTACGCGAGCCAGGCCAAGCAATCAGCTTGCGGCTGGCAAGTACATTTCCGCCGGGCGCGCGCTTCCACGTAGCAGCAGCGGCAGCAGCACTATTATAATGCACAACAACAAACGCGCGCTCAAAGATGCCCACGCACCGCTCTATCTCTCTCTCTCTGCTTTGGCAAATAATAACTCGGGCTGTATACGCGAGCGGTAATGTAATTTTTTTTCTTCTTCCTCTTCTATATATCTGCTATTGTACCGCTGCTACGTCGACGTTGCTGAGCACGTGCCTCGGCGCCTGTGCATTACGAATCCATATGAAAAGAGATTTCTCAACTCTCGGAGAGAGTGTTTATTATATATATATACAGGTATATAATATCGTAGTATGTCATTGTGTGTGCAGTCGAGGTAGCGAGGGCTGCATTCCGTTAAAGCGCATTTCGTAACGGCGCGCGGCAGTGCTTTTATATATCTACACGCAGAGAGATGTATAATGCGCGGGAGCTGATGCTGCTGTTGCGGCTCGTAAACTGCGCGGGCGTAAGAGCGTAAACTTCACGACTGTTACAATGACGCGCGCGGGCGGTGCGGTGAATTTTTTTTCTTCGTCGTCTCTCTTCTTTTCCTTTTTTTTTTTGTTCCGAAACATCCTCCATTGTGTAAATGTTCGCCGAAGTAAGTGAAGCTGAAAGAGAGTCGGTTGCAAAAATCGATTTTTATCCTTTCTTTCTCTCTCTCGCTCTCTGACATTTGACGCGGGCGCTCGGAGAATTAGATTCAAAACTTTTACCCGCGCGCGTGACAGACCTTTTGTTATAATACACGAGTCTTATACTTTTAGTCCTTTCCGTCTCTCGCATTCGGTGCATTTTGATGTCGCTCGGCAGAGTTTATCATTATCGCTATTAAAGCATAGATTATTGCGCGCAAAGTTTTTTACACGCGCCTTCGCATATATTTACTCAAGTATAAGTCTTCAGGAGATAATCTCATGATTCTCCTTCGACGAGTGCGTTCTATTCTTTTCCGAAACGCTTCGCGAGAAGAACGTCGAGTGCTCAAAAGGAGATTACACGCGGAGAATAATATAATTTACGAGAGATATTTTTTCGTTTAAGATAAAAGTATGAAAACAGTGAGCCCGCCTCGCCTCGGCCTCGTGCCGACGTCAGTTCATTCTCCACGAGGCAGAAAATTAATTGTACGAAACTCGCAACGTACGTTGTTCGGAACGAGTTACGAGATATACGGGTCTTCAAAAATCCTATGTATATATCATACGTATTTCAAGCGCGACAATCGAGGCAGAGGGAACGCGGCACACGAGTAACGCGAACGAGTCTCTCGGCTGCGGGGGGTTGAAACTTTTCACATTTTAGCAAGTTCTCGGCGATTCGCGTGGCGCAAGTACGCGACGCGCGAGAAAAAGAGAATGAGTAAAGCAAGATGCATCGAGGTTGAAATTCGCCTCTCTTTCTCTCTCTCCTTTGCCTCTACTTCTTCCTTATCTGGCCTACATTTCAGTGGCTGCGCATCGCGCGTACCAATATATAGTATAATGTGAATTACATACGTTTTTGCTACTGTACGACTTCTGCTCGGAGGGGATACAATAATACCCAGCGGTGGGTATAAACGAAGATAGCTCAAAAGGTAAAAAACAACGTTTGTATAACATTGCAACAAAGACATGGATCTTACATCGTTGTTATCATAGACTATTGTAAGAAAGAAGTAAACGTTTTTCCGACCCTCCGACTTCACCCCCATCCGAAGGCCTCCTACTGATGGGATCGATAATAATTCTTTTAAAAATAAATTTATATCAATACTTGTAAATCGTGATTATAATATTTGTAATATGTATTTGAATTTTTATCATGTTGTGTGGAAATGTTTACTATGTTATGTAGCAATTTTTCATATTGCACATTAATTTTTTCATTTTTTAATTATGTTAGTCTCAAGTTCGGCTTGTTGAGCGTCTGTTTTTGAAAAACAAATCAAATCAATTCGTTTCGTTTGGTACTACAATGTAAAAATTTCAAAATTTAAATATTCACGAAAACCATCTATCAAAGAACTTAAAATGTAAGCATTTTTTTAAACATAAATTTGTATGATTTGATTAGAGGAAAGTAACCAAATCTCAACGATTTGACGGAAGAGATGAAGTGCTTACAAGTTGCGCACAAATCTAAGCATCATAATCGGAATAAAATGTGTAAAAGATTGAATGAGCCAATGAAACTACAGCTAGAAAATATAATACTGAACAATAATACAGAAAACGGTCAACAAGAGCAAATAATTGCTTATTAAGTTGCTTGAAAAGTCTGATATGTATAAATTCCAAAAAAGATCTCGCCACTTACGAGTTTTGCTTAAAAAACCTCCTTCGCCATCTATTGGCCATTCATCAATCTCAATGATATCACGAGTTTTGCTATCAAACATGGTATAACTTTTCGTAGAGAACATTTTTTTTTTGCTATGCCCATAGTAATATTTGTTGTATGCATATTAATGTTTCGTGAAATAATAGTAAAAAGTTTTATAATTACTGATGATACATTAATTACTGCAGATTTTGGTAATTTATAATATACAATATGTGTATAATTTTAACTTTTTCCCCATTTATAACATTTGTAACATCTGTCCACTGCTACACATACAAACGCAAATCCAAGAACAATCGCTCGTTGTTTCGCTCGTTTTCGTCCATCGAAATGTGAAGCCCGCGGATTTGTCGTGTGCAATGAGTCGTTGTAAAGGGAGCGATAATCGCGCCGAGAGTTCCTCTCTATTTCTCTCTCTCTCTCTCTCTCTCCTCCCGATACATCGAGAGGCATCGATTTTCTCTCGTGCTATATATCAGTAGCAGTCGTCGAGTTGAACCGAGTCGAGTCGAGATTTTCCCCAAGCGCGAGACGAATGAAAAAACAATAAAAAAGGGGTCTGTATATATACACATACACACTCACTTTGGCGCAAGGCATTTCAAGAGAGAGAGAGAGAGAGAGAGAGGGTGAGAGAGAGCGATAAAAGCTGCTCCGCCAGTCTCTATTATGTATTTATGTATAGCTATATATACGGCACGTACTTTAACGCGGCCGCGGCAATGCAAGTGGCAGAGTACAATCGAGCGAAGATAATCATCGATACTTTTCTTTCTGCACTTTTGCCGCCGCAGCTATACCCCCGCGTTCGCCTGCAATTCTTACGTCTATATAAAAGACTCTCGAGGAAAGAGGAAATAAAAAAGAAAGAAGGATAGAGAGAGAGAGAGAGAGAGAGAGAGAGAGAGAGAGAGAGAGAGAGAGAGAGAGAAATTAAAGGAGGGTAAAGAAAAAAGGGCTAAACTATCTCTCGCGATCGTTTAAATGTATAATTTTCTGCCTCGACTTTACTGGCCGATAGCGGGCGGGGGCGCGAGGATATAATGGCGGCGCACGCGAGCCGATCATTACCCTCGAAAATTTCAGCATCGCACGATATATATTGCGCGCGATGTATATGCTATATACACACACACACGCGCGCGAGCGCGCACACACACATACGTAATACCGTAATATGTGTTTATATATAATACGCACCTCGAACACCGCTTCGCGATGGTGCGATCATTCAATCGTTCACTCGTTTATGTGTGCCTGCGGCTTTTGCA